CGATTTAGATGGTGTATGAATGTGTGCGTACGCACGCGCGCGTGTGCGTATAATATATAAAGGACATTTTACGTAGATACTGATTTACTACTGCGCGACTATGAAGATTCGTTTAGCGATCGTGCTTTCATTTTTAATTTAATAAGTTTATTTATTTATTTATTTATTTATTTATTTAATTATTTATTATTTTCTTTTTTTTTTTTTTTTTTAAGGAAAAAAGATGATCAATATAACTTTATACAACGTACTGCAAGTAATAAAAATTATTCGTTCCAATTTATAGAGTAAGATTTACTTAAAAAATTTAATTTTTTGTTTATTCTTCTATTTAATTTTATATATTATATTTTATTTAAATAATATGTAAAAAGGTTATAACTTAATGATTAATTATATAGAATTAAATCAACAAAAAAAGGATCGGTTTTTTACGATTTTATCCCATTTATAGAAAAACGGTACATAAATCGATATATTTTAAAATTCATAAAAAGAAAAAAAAGAAAAAAATATTATTTTCGAATCATAATGTATGTTCGAATCAGAACAAGTTTGGACATTTTATTATATTTTTAACAAAAATTGGTTTCAATTGAATTATTTTTCATTGGGATATACTCCAATGAAAACTTTGTTTTTCTCGAAATAACTTTTTGAAGTATATGCCCTTTTTCTATCAATGAACTAAATTTTTGCCGAGCAGCTTTTTTCCTTTCGTCTCTCGATTCTCTCAAGTTGGTTCTCCAATAGCGATAACTCTCGAAAATATCTATGTGAACAATAGAATTTAACATGGCGAAAAAAAGAGATAAAAAGTGAAACTCTATGTAATTTTCAAATTGATAATGAATCATCACTATTTGTTGAATTTCCCTTTGTCAACTCGTTGTAATCGCGTCGATTTTCATTAATTTGTTTCTTTGAACGTACGAGAATGCGTCGTTATTTTCCATATTATTCTTTTCTGCTCGATCTTGATCTTCCTCTTTTTTTTATCTTTATCTTTATCTCTTTCTCTCTTTTGACCGATACGTTTTTCTCTACAAATCATTTGGCATCTTATCATCACGCCTTTTTACTTACGATCATTATTATACTTATCTTTCCGCATCTATTACGATACACATGTACGTTATATTACGCACTGTTTCTCGTTTGTCTATATATTTATATAACTAATTATTATTTTTTTTTTATCGGCTATTTATTATACTTCGTTTGTATTGATACTTCTCTGGTTTTCGCTCGTTTATCATATAAACATATTTCAATAAACATCTATGTATTTGTTTCTTTATTTAATCGAAAAAAAAGATAATGCAGTTTTTACGTATATATTTCATATTTCCTTATCCTTCTCTTTTTGTTATACCGAAGGAGATCAGATGTGTGATAGGACAATTCAAACGATCGCATTATGTTGTGCGTCAAGTAAACGTTGGTCAACAGCATCTAGTCTAATTACTCTAATCGCTTCTAACGATCGGATTGCAGGCTTAATCATTGGATTCAGTCTCACGCAGAACGCTTATAAGAAACGCTACGTAACGTCGTGGCCAAGTTCGATTCAAGGAAGTTCGATTTGCGGATCACAATGTTTGTATTTTCCCTTTGATTTCATTTTTTTTTCTTCGTTCAAGATTTTCAAAAATGAGCGAGAAAGGAAAGAAAATTAATCGGTAATGTTAGACGAGCTATCGTTACGATCGTAATAAGCATCCTTACATTCGTGTCCGTGTATTTCATGCGTATTATAATCAACGATATTAATAAGACTGTAGAGTTGAATTTACATTTAGCAATGGCACTAGCAACATTAATATCGTTCGAGTTTTATTCAGCTCGATGTCTGTAAATCGATCCTTATGCCGACAACGATGAGCGGTATCGTCGCTTGGTAATTATTGGTTAATGCTAATTACTTTATCTTCTTTCTTGTATTCATTCGTCGTCAACGAGACGTTTACCTAGGTAAAAGCGACGACGACAATGACGAGAGAGTACTGAAGAAAATAAATCTTTTAATAAATTCGCTTGTACCGTTACTTGATGATGAACGCATGGTTCTCTCTCTCTCTCTCTCTCTCTCTCTCTCTCACTCTCACTCTCTCTCTCGTTTCTTTTTTTCTGTTTTCTTTCCTTCCTCCTTCTCTTCCTTCTTCTTATTTTAATATCCTCAACACACATATCGTTGCAAAAGTTTCTCGAGGATTTTCTGAAAATCCTCGAGACGTTCGTTAATTGATCGTTCGAGTCCCGATTATCTAATCACGCTTAGATCCCTGTTTCCTCAAGCAAATCGGTCCTCTCCTTTTTTCATCGTACCGTCATTTTCGATAATGCCTGTCATCGTAAACTCACGAAATGGTAGAAGGATTTTGTGATCGTCCTTGAAGAGCTTGGAATTGAGAGTGCATTGGCGAAGGTCGACGATGAATTCTCCTCGATCGTTAAAGCAAAAAAGCAACTTGCAAGTTGTATTTAAAATTCAGTGAATTAATTTAAATCATAAGCACAACGGTAGCAAAAAAATAATTCAACGTAAATTCACATTATTGAACGTTTTAATTATACGTACGTGGAAAATAATGCGTTATATTAAAAGAAGTTATCATTGTTACCGAGGGAATGGCATTTATTCGAACAATTGTTTAAGCTTATAATAATGATAATGATAATTATTATTATTATTATTATTATTATTATTATTATTATTATTATTATTATTATTATTATTATTATTATTATTATTAATATTATTAATATTATTATTTTCGATTTGAATTTTTCCACCGGAACTATACTAATTATAATTAACAGATTTCGTAACGTAGAATGAGAATTCATTTTTTAGTCATAATCGTTATTGAAAAATATCTATTTCGACGATGATAATCGGGAAAAAGAAGAAAAAAATAAAATATAAATATGTTTTTACATTTAATCTTAAACCTCATTGGTAATATTCGTTATTGGCCAAACGATGAAAGATATAACGAAAATAACGTTACTCCAAATACCATCGATTCTTATCCGGTCTTGCTTATACATACATGTATGCAAGCAGGTAAAGATACATGTAAGTTATGTGTGTGGATGTGTGTATAGACACACACACGCGTCATATTTGTTAAATATTAGTGCGAGACAGTTTGTAATTTACACATCCCAATCTCAAGGATGAGTTTAACTAATGATTAACGCCTTAATGAAAACAGGGGCACGCTTTTCAATGGTGAAACATGTCTCGAGGGTATTATTAATAGAACGCTAGTCCACCCACCCACCCACACTCGCATACAGTCAGGCACACACGGGCTGATCGGTTCAAAGGGCAGTGACCGTGCTTCTTACAACAAATATATCGCAATTACCGGAATGTCCATGCGAGGACTCGGCCTTGTCTGGACGCCACTTTTCTCTCTCTCTCTCTCTCTCTCTCTCTCTCTCTCTCTCTCTCTTTTTCTCTTTCGCTTTCTCTTTGCATTATCGTTATTATTATTAATCGCAGATAGTAGAACAAATCGACTGTGACCTTTTGGACCTTTTCTGGGTGTCTCGACGTTACAACGCCGTTCAAAGTCCATGATGAAGGTTTCTCTCTAACAATGCGTCGTTTCTAGAAATTTCAAATTTGTTTGTAGTTCTTTTTTTTCTTTTTTTTTTTTACATTAATAATAGTAACAATAAAGGATATATTTTTTAAAGAGTAACCCGTTCTAAAACGATTAAAACACAGAGTGTTGTTGACGCACAATAAAATGCAATAGTGCCACCGGAGAGCGTTATCAATTGAGTTTTGATGTTAGTGCCATCTCTAACGATCACTTTTACTTATTACACAGCAACAGTCTCTCGGTCATAACGTGTAGAAAAGTGACATCTTTCTCGAAAAATTCTACTTTTATATTTTTTTAGGAAATAGAAATGTGATTCATCCACATCGATAATAATAAGTCCTCAAAGGAATTTGGAAGTTAATGATATCTTTCGAAAGATTTTTTCAACGTTTCATGTTTCGAACGCGTGTTCAGTTACGTTTGTTAGAAAGAGATTAGACTTAATAAGATCGGGGACGATTTGCTTAAGAAAACATGTATGATGTGTGTGTGCGCGCACTCATATTTTTATATATATATATATATATATATATATATATATATATATATCATAGAAGTTCAAATTTGTTTGTCTCTTAAATATTTTACAACGTACCTATATATTTTACGTAATATTTTACAAAGGACACCTCTGTATGTTGGAGATGCACCACTAGCGAATAGTAGAAACAAACACATCCTCATTCGATAAAAAAAAAAAGAAACAAGAAGACGAACATTAAACTCTTCACTAGCAAATTACAAGTAATGTATATTTACGAGCTTTATACGAACTTTCGATATAGACTAAAGAAACATAATAGCCTATTCTCATAAACATTTCACTAGGCATTGATCCAAGTCTCAATAATCTGCGCAGTAAAATCGAACAAGTCGTTCTTCAAATAAATTAAAAAAAAAGAGAGAGAAAAATATATATATATATATACACATACACAATCGCATATCTAGCTTATGCATGATTTCAAGTCATAATACATATAGATTTTCTCTAATTGCGTTACATATACTGATAATAATTAATTGGTCACACATTCGTTAAATCATGTAAACGTTAAACTCCTCTGTTAGCGGGCCAAAAATTCTTATCCTCGAAACTTGTCTCGTTCCAATTATTTCTGCGAGTAAAGATCGGAAGCGAAGAGTTCTTTGCTTTCGGCGGGAGTTTGAATGTTGGGATCTTTAGGATGACGAGAGGGGAAAGAAGGAGAAGGGGAAAACGTAGACGATTGCGATGACGATGACGACGCCAACATTGGCGACGTCTAGAGAAGTAGTGGGGCGAAGAGAAGGTGGAAAATAGGTAGGAGTGGGGATTATTTACTCGTATCGCTCAGAGCCGCTACCATGCTCGCCGGCTTTGACTCTAAACGAAGTGCGGCAGTAGGAACATGATACTCGACGTGTACGGGTCTTTTCATTGAGCGTTTATCGTCCTTCGCTTATTTCCGTCTTGTTTCTATCCTTTATTATTGTTCATTTTAATATATTTAATTTATTCATAATAGAATCGAGGGTATTGAGAGTGAAAAGTGTGCGACCGTGATATTTAAATCTGTATAGGTTTCCTTCCTTATCTCTCTTACTTTTTTCTCACGTTTCACTTTTATGTACGAAACAACAAAGATGACTGGTGAGTGTCGACGGCTCGATATATCGAACGATATATCCAGAGTTTTTTATAGTTTCTCTGTGTGACGAATCGTCTGGAATAGGAGAGAAAAGGAAGGATCATAGAGAAAACGGTGAAGAAGAAATATTTTTTACGATCGATCGATCGATCGGTCAATCGATACGGTGATACGTTATTGGCAGCGAAGACTGCTGTTTGAAATTTGTTTTCGAGGTGCTCTGATGGCACCCGATCTCGAAAAAAGAAGGCAAGAACTTCGGAGGACCGGCAGCGGCACCTCGACAAGTCCTTGTCACGAGCACGTGGGGATGCTATTGCAACTTGCCCGTCCGATTCCCATCAAGTTTATATCACCGACAGATCTTTATTTTCACGGTAATGTTTGTTCAAACTTTAGAGAATAAAGGGAAAAAATAAATAAATCAAAACAAACATCTATACGTTCGGATCTCTCTCGCGTATGACCCATCGAGATTTTGTTCTTTCGCTTTCTTTCTCGAATAAGCACAAGTCTCCTTCACCGAGACTTCTGACCACATTTTCACTTGCTTTCATTGCGCAAAATCAAACAAAAAATGCAACAAGAAAAATGAAAAAGAAAAAAAGAAAATATCACTCATTTTGTTTTTTTCTCTATCTTTTCTCGAAGTATTATCTGTACCAATTATTATTCTTCATAACATTCTCTATAAGTTTTCGCGTCAAATTGAAGAATAAAAAACAAAGATAAAATGGTTTTCTATTTGTTTTGTATTTTTTTGGCTTTTCTTTTTTTTTTTTTTGTTACTTAATTTACACTTTTTATCGAATCACGTTTGGACCGAGGAAGAGGGAAAGATCCAGAAAAGTTCGACATCTTGTAATATCGAAATATGCGAGGACGAGGCGAGGTCAATATCCTGATTTAATTATTTTTCTTTATTATCTTTTCACGATTATTGTTGTGAGCTTAAGAACAAGTTTCGTGTTTTACCACCTCCATTACACGCGGCGATCGTGTAAAATCAATTCTCACTTTTAAAAGATAACCTACGCTTATTGCATGAGAGAGCGAGAGAGAGAGAGAGAGAGAGAGAGAGAGAGAGAGAGATTGCATTCGATTCTTTTGCTCCAATAATAAAACATCAGCTCTCCTCCCCCTTACATCCTCCACCATGTTCTTCGTACTGAGTTCGTAGGATGATTCATTGTGGCCTTGTCAGATAGTATACGTTCAATCCAAGAAACTAAGAAACCGGTGAACTTCCTTCGACGAAGGAAACAAATCAAGGAGACTTTTTCTGTAACTTCCGGAAGATCGAGTATACATTTTTAAACTTCGATTATGTTGTTAAATGTTAATCACGTTGCCATCTACACACTTTATGTGTATTTATATACAAACATATATATATATACATACATATGTATGCATATATATGCATATGTATGTATATATATATCCGGTGCATGTATGTATATATATATATATGTATATATATATATATATATATATATATACATACATGCACGGGATAAACCTGTACATGAATCGTTATGTTTATAACGTGCTAGGGAATCTATAACTCGTCATTATACACCGATGCACCTTCGTCCTATTCGCGATTAACGCCGTCATCCTAGCGATTACTGGAAAGCATTACGTTTCTTTTTCTCCTTTACTCCTCATCCCTTCTCAAACCGTTTTCTTTCGTCATCTTCGATCGTGTAGCAAAAAAAAAGAAAAAATAAGCCGAACATTCTTTCGACGAGACTGCGATCCATTTGACCGAGAAAAAAACAGATAAATTATTTATTTTCAGATTGAACTCGCCTCTGAAAAAGATAGAGATAGAGGGGAGGAGGCAAAAAAATATAAGAATTTAAAAGACCATCTTCTTGACAAATGCATTGTCGATATTTGTGGAAAGAACAGAGCAAACTGGTTCCTCTCCTATCGTCTCAAAATACCTGCCGAATTAACATAGATCGTTAATTTGACGGACGAAAGGCGTGATTTTACATCGGCAACTTGTGTCGTAAGTACCCGCTGCCGTCGTCGTCTTCTTCGTCGTCGTTGTCATCGTCATTATCGTTGTGTATCTTTGGTCGAAATCAAGGAGAAAGTCCAAAAATGTAGCTTCTTTTCCAGCTTCTATTCTCCTGACCTTGATGTCTCGCGGTTAAACACGTGCGTTAAACGATTATGTTAGTCGGAATAAAATTTATATATATATATATGTATGTATATACGTATATATATATATATATGAGTGTGTGTATATATATATATATATATACACAAACATATATACACGTATATACTTTTCGATAAATGTTTGTTTTTCTTATTTGTTATTTTTGAATCACAATAACTATTGCCATTATAGACACCTTTGTATTTATGAATTTTATGAAAACACATGAAAATATACTATATTTCATAAGAATTATTTCGGTCGAAAGGTATCTAACAAAAAATAATTATTTCGCTTAGAAGTAATCATCTGCTCGCATATTAAATTTCATCATTTATTTTTAAATCGATAATAAATGCATCGAAGTATCAAATTAATAATATATTTCCACCAATTAAAAGTGAATCATCGAATGTACTTTCATTTCTTGCATACTTAACACGAACGAGTTAGGTGCTTTTAATTTGTTCTTTGTAAATAAAAGATTAAACATTTTATGCATACCTGTTCTTTATTAATTTCCAAGCAAAAGCTTGACTGCTAACGAGATTTAAGAAATCTTTGCGACTGCGTATCTCTCTCTCTCTCTCTTCTCTCTCTCTCTCTTTCTGGACATCTCATTAAATAATATCAGGAATGCAATTACGTTATTGCGTCGATCAAATTCTTTCAAGAATGTGAGCAATCTCTCGTAGCCTGCTTCTTTTTATCTTTTTATATTCTGTGTCGTAGATGCAACGAACTTGACTTGTCATCGATTCGAAGCAGACCTTCATCGAGCTATCGATTATCAACTTTTAATTTCATTTCTTAGATATCCGTCTATTCTTTTTTTTCCTTTTTTCTTTTATGTTTTTTATTTTCTTTTTCTTTTTTTATGTTTAATTAAATATCCTCGGTCAAAGACTATGTGATTGTATCAGTAATAGGGTTCATTAGATCGAGGCAATCGATATGTGTATGAATATAAAATAAGTATCTCTCTTTCTCTCTCTTATTATCTATTATTGAGGTAAAACTAGCATTCAAGATAAAATGAGAAAGATTAACTTATCATCTTTTATTAAACCGGATTAACCAATGATCGGATCTCTTTACTTGCTCCTCCTTTCACTTGGCCCCCGTATTCTCGAATTTCGATTCGTCCGATTAAAATCTCATGCCACACTCGCGCACGTGTTTTGAGCATGTGCGTCGTCGAAAAGACGCGCGCTCGACTTCCATTTCGTCGACGTGTCTATGTCCACATTAATAGATATACAGCACATACATACGCACACCCGCATGTTAGACTATCAATTACATTGACTCAATTGGTCGAACACTATCGCCAGTTTAGTTCTACAACAAGTAAGTATAACGTTTGTTTTTTTCATTAAAAAAGTGGGAGAGACAGTAAGAAGCAGAAAGAGAGAGAGAGAGAGAGAGAGAGAGAGAGAGAGAGAGAGAAAGAGAGAGAGATAAGATGAGCTATCTGCAATAAGTATGTATGTTTCATCGTTACGACAGATCACAGTCGTTCATCGCGAATCGTTCGAATTTGCAAGAAAAAGATCTATCCGATCGATTGATTAAACAAATTTTACAGATCTTACGTATTTTGATTACGTTATCTGAATAGCATAGTAATGATCGTTCAATGATAATCTTTTTTCCTTCAATATTCTTCAATCACGTTACATTTGTTCTATATATTGATTACTAATCTTCGTGTTACGTTAATTTTTAATTTCATCTTAAATAATAAATTAAAAATGTTTAAATATTAATTCGTTTATTAGTATTAGACTATTGAACGCGTTTTTACATTTGGCAAATTGTTTATTCTGTTATCAATGTTCTCGAGTAATCCGCCGATGGATCGAATACACGTTTCAACACACAAGTGAGCAACGATCGTCGGGGTAAATCATCGCCAATCGAAAATTCGTATAGCCTCGAACAGAAGCACTGTGCACCGTCATGCCCGCGTACGGATCCTTCTGTGTTATCTCGAGCTCTTAAGTAGGCTATCAGCGATGTCATTAAGTATACACAGACTGTCATCGTGCCACGCGAACTTCTTTCGCAATAGTTTAGAAGCTGAAAGAGAAACGAGGGAAAGAGAAAGAAAGAGAGAAATGTCTAATTTTCATACTTTATCAATAAAATTGTACAAATGTAACAAAACTTGTGTAAATAACAAAATATGTTGTTACTAATTTGTGTTAACAATAGTAATAATATAAGACTAGGGCTAACAAATCAAATTTATTTTAACTTCTTCTCTTTCTCCCTCTCTCTCTCTCTCTCTCTCTCTCTCTCTCTCTCTCTCTCTCTCTCTCTCTCTCTCTCTTTCTCTCTCTCTCTCCTTTCTCTCTCTCTCTCTCTCTCTCTCTCTCTCTCTCTCTCTCTCTCTCTCTCTCTCTCTCTCTTTTAAATGATATCTAATTGACGCGTAAAATTCTCATTAAGAAGTTATCTTCTCTCAAGAACTTTTGTTTGCTTTTCTCGATCTCGAATTTTAGCGCCGTCTTTTATTAGCGTCTTTACCTTCGAAATGCATTGGGTCAATGTACCGCGTATCTACAGCAAAATTTGAAGCGATCAGAAAGATTGCTATCTTATCTTGATTTTATAAACAGATAAAGTCATATTCAAATTGCCAGACTTCGTGATCAAATGAATACGAATTATAGTTGAATGATTCCTGTGGGATAAAAAAAAAAAAAAGAAAAAAGAAGAAAAAAGAAAAAAATTAAAAGGAAGAAAGAAAGCAATATTCTATGTATTTTTGCAAAATTATATAAATCATCTGACTGATAGAGCAGACAAAAGGACATAATCTTTGTTAGATAAAGCTTAGAAGCATGGAATTTTTTGCGGATTTGATCGGAAAAGATTCGCCATGCGGTCCTTTTAACGGGCGTCTTGGCACGGAAACGCTTTCGATTCGATAAGGATCGAACGCATCGATCCAGCAAAGAACAGGTAACAATATCCTTGAGACTCGAGAGGCGTCATAGTTAGCGCGAGCTGCTCTGTTTACAATGTAATAGTAACGATGTTTATCGATCCTATTATCGAGAGAGAAAAAGAAAGAGGGAGAAAGAGAGAGAGAGAGAGAGAGAGAGAGAGAGAGAGAGAAAACGTTCACAAATACATGCTCGGGCTTTTGCTTCTCCTGGGTCTACCGAGGACGATCAAGGAGACGCAAATACTAGCTGAGTTTGACCTAAGAAAAAGAAGGAAAGCCCAATTCATATTCCAGCCAAGTTGCATGTAACCCATTGCCTGCCGGTACCCTTCCATCGTACCGGCTTCGATCGTTATTTTCAGAGCGTTTAAATTTATTCAGATGCAATTGTCCATCGATGTAAATATCTGCAAAATTTTGACGAGATGTGATCTATCCTATAACTGCATTCTGTAAAAATATTACAATTTTTATCTTTATTATCTTTATTGCATATATTCGATGATATATGTATCTTGAAGCATGTGAGAACAGACAACCACGTCTGATTCGGTAACTCTTTGCATGTCTATCTTTCTCTTCCTTTCTCTTTCAACGTGATGTCAATCAAAACTGAAATTCTGTTGATCCTCCTTATCTTTATTGTCTCTATATCATCAACTTAATTAACTAGAACGTCATATGTACTGTGTAGATTAAAAGCAGAGTCGATCAATGAACGAAAATCGAGAAAAAGGATTCTTTTCGTTATTGTGATCGAACGCGCGAGGCAAATAAGAGTCTCGAAAGACGTCGCCACAGATGACAATAAAACGATCGTCGTACGTTAAGCAGGCTGATTAAAAAGGGTCTTTAAAGATTGGCTAAATTACCTTTTCGATTATAAGAGAGCGTGGGATTTTAAAACAGAATCTTAATTAATCAAATTAATAGCGGAAGATGAAAAAATGGAAGAAGAATAAGAAGAAACGAAAAGACCGAAGGAATTTCGTTAATTAAATTTTAGTATTATATAAATAGTTCGAAAAGACTTTAACTACGGTTGTGACTAATCATTAGATCAAATTAAATGGATAAAAAACTGATCGAATTGTCAGAGACTGTTGATTAGAAAACAGAGTGAGAGAGAGAGAGAAAGAAGGAGAGAGAGGGGGAGAGGAAAAGAGAGAGAGAGAGAGAGAGAGAGATGCTTTGATGTTGAGAAAAATGAAGCGACGTTCCCGGCGTATGATCGATACCGCTATGACAAATAACACTTGCAGGATCCGCGAGACTCGCGAGAGGGAGGCTGAAGGAGGAGGTAATGGGTGGAGAAAAGTGAAGCGCAATGAGATTGGAAATGTAGGGTCGTGCGCGGGTCGTTGACATCGTCCCGTGATTTTCCTCGACGTTCACACTGATGCATCTTGCAAGTGTGCAAGCGCCCATTAGTCGCCATACTCACCCCTCCATATTCTTCCACGCTCTACGAGAGAAAGAGAGAGAGAGAAAGAGAGAGAGAACATATGAGGCGGGGTGGATCGAAACCCCCAGTTTCTCTAGCACCACCAGTTGCGTTCGCGATTGCAACTTTACCCCTACGCAATTATTCCGTCCGGCAGTCGTCGTTCTATACTTAGATTATCCGACATTGCTTTATTCTACTATCCTACTCTTCATTTTTCTTTTTCTTTTTTATTTTGCTTTTTTCTTTTCTATTTTCTTTTTTTTTTCTTCATCGTTATTGTCTTGCTCTTCGCAATCTTTCTCTTCATAATTTTTTTTCTTTCTCATCAGAAGTAATTTTTTATTTTTCCTAATCATCATCTTCATAAGGATTATAAGCGTCAACATCGTCATCTTGTTTCTCGTTTTTTCATTGTCCTAGATCTCATCATTTATCTGTTTTTTTCTCTTCTACTGCTTTGTCTTCTATTACTTCTACTACTTCTTCTTCTTCTTTTTTTTTCATCTTCTTTTTTTTTCTTCTTCTTCCTCCTTCTCCACAGTTATAGAATATTTCGATCTTTGGACTTTAATCCAGCAAATGATAATAATCTAACATGTGTACAAGCCGTGAACAAACATTACCGAAAATCCGTAAAAATGTCTTTAAAACGCGACATTATCGACACCGATGTCTCGCAAGTCTACGAAAATAATTCTCGTTTCTCATTTTTTCATTCCTCTTTTTAATACATTAAATACTTTGCGATTTTTCTCGTAATTGTTTTATCATGCTTAGACTTCATCAGAAGAAAAAAAAATCACCAATAATACATAGCACGTTTTCATAAGAAAACAGTTAACACAATATTTCTAGAACAAATTCACTTTGGACGAAATATATTAAGAAGATATAATAAGACTGATTTAAATAAGCCGTACGTTCTCGGGAGTGTTTGAGAATCTCAAACGAATAATTCGTAGAAAAGTAGACATCTTCGTTACGTTTCCATACTTGTTGGTGTTTCAGGTAACAATGCAGGAGGCTCATCGTCCACGGTGACAGGATCCATTTTAAGAAGTTCCACAGCACCTAACAATCGAACGCACTCAATCAACAGGAGAGCGGTTCACCAGCAACGAGAGCAGCACCAACAACAGCAATCGTCGATTCCTTTGAGCGGTGCCACTGTTCAAAATTCGGATGATCACGAAGCAAGGGCAACCAGCTCGGCGCAAGACGCTTGCGACAATTCGAACGATTCTGGTCTTGGTTTCGAAGAACGACAACAACAGCTCAACACCGCTAACGTTTGTTAAATTTTATTTTAATTATAGATTGTAACAATAACGTAGACGCAAGTTTAAAAAGTTAATGAAACTTCCAATCGAAAAATTTGTTGTACGTAAGCGCAGAATTGTAATACTTGCATTCGCGGTGAAGATATTGTTTATTTATATATACGTGAGCCGGGGTTATCCATTAGCCGATAAAATTCTCCGCGGAGCAACGGCTGCATTGTTATCAACGATTATCAGTGTAAAGTGGCGATACATTCGCGTCTTATCGGAATATCATCGTCGGTGATTGTACGTGAGCAAGTATTCTCCATGATCAAAGATGTTTATGCTCGCTTGTAGCGAGTTCTTCGTGATCTTTTGCGCTCTCCGATACGAGTGAGATCGCGCGAAACAGAAGCTATCGATCGTTGTTATTAACGGATCCATCGAGAGTATCATGTTGAGGACATGAAAATGTTTTACGATTGTCTCGGGCCTCAGAAATGAAAATAACATTGCTCTTCTAAAGTTCTGTCGCTAGAACTCGAAGAAGCCGGGGAACGAAGCCTCTAAAATTCACTTCGAATGTTCATCCTTGATTGCACCACCGGTAAATACTAGCATGGTATCAACGTGTCCGTTTGCTAACATCGTCACTGGGCGATGATATAGTACGGTGGTTGAACCCGCACAATGGATGCTCTGATTCGTTAGATTGAACTGAGCACGATGCATGAACACTCATGCGAGTTTCATGACGATCAATTTGTCTTTACTTGTTAGCTCGCTGGACATATGGGTCGTGTCTATATATCTTGTGAAGGATCAAAAGATCAAGGCTTTCCTAAAGTTCTAAGATCATCGGTTCCTTCTCCTAATCTTTCGATTGCGCAAAAGTTAATGGTTAATATTTATTATATTGTGGCATTTATTAATGAGAATTCGTTGATTGGATTAACAGGCGTGGAACGGCGTCGGTGAAGAGGATTCGAAGAGAAGAAAAATGGATATAAAGCTTGAATCCGAGGACGCAAATTTTTCTTTTCCTGAGGTTCCTCATTCTGGCAATCCCGAAGGAAAAACTTCGAATAGAGGTACGAGCAATGGCATCGGTCTTACGGCAATCTCAGCTACTAGAACAGGAAACGGAACTGCTGGCACCGTAGGTAGGGTCATCGGTGTTACGAAACCTCGTCCAGCCATGGGTGTTTTGGGTAAACGCTCACCGATAACTCACCAAGGCCCCGTCACCCTCACCTCGCAACTTTGTACGTTTTAAGATATTCTTCTAAAATAATTTGAACAATTTCTAAACAACGTGCGACGTTCGTTTTTATGATGCTTACAATTTTAATGTCAAATAATCAAATTATTATCCTTCAAGAGAAAATTAAATCTTGTTACGTTGAAACATAAGTGTCGCCTCATTGATTTATTTTCGACGAAGTAGTTATTCTCATGATTTTTACTACCAAGATACGTTATCGTTCTATATTTAGCAACCGACATTCTTGGCATCTCGGTAGAAGGAAAACATTCACATACCTTTGTTTGATATCAAGCGCGATATCCAATGTACATTGTGCAAATTATTGTTAGAAATTTGGAAAACAAAAAAAGAAAAAAGAGAAACGTAAACATTGAGCATACGAACGTTGACATCGGATTTTTCGAAAAAAAATATTTCATTAAAAAGGACTTTCTATAATTTTTCAGCTACCACATCTATAGATGGAAAGGTACAATTACAGATCATTTGTCAGCCTGAACAACAACACCGTGCACGTTATCAAACGGAAGGTTCAAGAGGAGCGGTGAAAGATCGCACAGGAAACGGATTTCCTATCGTACGTTTGATCGGTTACGACAAACCGACAACCCTTCAGGTTTTTATCGGCACAGATCTTGGCAGAGTAGCACCACACATGTTTTATCAAGCCTGTCGAGTTAGCGGTAAAAATTCGACGCCTTGTATCGAGAGGAAAATCGATGGCACGATCGTTATCGAAGTGGATATGGATCCTTCGAAAGATATGCTTGTAACCTGCGATTGCGTTGGTATCTTAAAGGAACGTAATGTTGACGTGGAACACAGATTTCCACAAGAAGCAGGTGTACTTCAAGGACGAAGCAAGAAAAAATCCACGAGATGTCGTATGGTTTTCCGGACGACAATTACTAACTCGGATGGTATTACGGAAACGTTGCAAGTTTGTTCACACCCTATAGTTTGCAGTGAGTATCCGAAAATGGTAAATGATATTATAAATGAAAGAAATAAAAGGTGTTAATGAAGTTTAGTAACACGAATGAAAATTAAAGGAAGATTTGATCTTTTAGCTCAACCACCAGGTATTCCTGAAATTTGCAAAAAATCTTTAACTTCCTGTCCGTGTACCGGAGGACTAGAATTATTTATTCTGGGAAAGAATTTCCTCAAAGACACTCGTATAGTGTTTCAATTGGATAACAACGATATGTCGAGCAATTTGGAGCCTCACTGGGAATGTGCCGTCCTACCCGATAAAGAATTCCTTCAGCAAACTCATTTGGTATGCGTTGTGCCGGCTTATAGACGCCAAGACTTGGCTCCTTCGGAAACTGTAAGCGTAAAACTCTATGCGGTATCTTCGGGAAAAACGAGCGAACCACACACCTTTTTCTACACGGCTGCATCCACTTCTTCCGAACCATCAATGAGTAAAGTCGAATCTATAACACCACCACTTGCTACGACAAACGGTGAGGCTGCTGCTCTATCATCGTCTCCTTCGGCAGTAACCTTGACAACCGGTGTCCCCGCCAACAGTGAGTGTTCAAAATCCAATAATATCGCTTAACATTTTTGCGAATTACTAATAATGTTCACTACTTTTCAGCTTTGGTACAGTCTGCCGCTACAGCAACATCAAATTTCTTGACAACGATGCAATCTCAACAAGCACCGAATCAGCCACCAGAAGCTCTTAAAAGCGATCCGAGTCCTCCTCCAACAGCTACGCAATCTCAAGTAACACCAGTAATGATGTGGACCTCTCAGTCACCAAACTGTCAGAATTCCTCAGCCGATGTAATGATGCCACCTCCATCCTTAATATCAAATCCTCTTTTAAATCGACGCTCTTCTTCGAATCTTCAACTAATTCTTCCGGACAATTTAAAAACAGAAGTATTGGATGAGAACAGCGAAAACAGCATGCTCAGTGATAATAGTATGCAAAGTATACCAACACCTACAGCGAATGGTCCAACGGGAACAAGTCCTTTACAACAACTCGTTAATGAGAATTCCAGAGAACCTGCCCAGTCCAGTATGATCAGATCAGTAACTGTACCTGCAAACGGTTCTCCGGTACAAGAAGCTGTGAGTCTTCTTGGTGTTGTGGATCTAATACGTAATCAACATCCTCTAACTATGGTGTCTACTCATCAGAATACATTCGGAAGTATGCATGAATCATCTCAAGTCAAAGTTCTCAGTCCACATCACATCAACAAAGATACTAATTCGATATTGACGGCAGAAAGCACTTCTAATGGCAGTATTCAGGGTGCTGGTGTTGTCGATCTCCGTATGAAACATCATCAGTCCGAATACAATGCGTTATCTAGCTTCGCTGCTTCCTCCGTAGGACAACCTTTACCAGCTCAAAGCGGTCACAGCGTAGAAGAATATTTGAGTCACATCGAATCTACCGTATCTACGGTGAAAGAACAAGAAAATGCTGAAAGTAATTTTGTAGATGCCATGCAACAACGAGCTTCTATAATCACTTCTAATCGACAAGCGGCTCAACAATCTCAAACTGGTCTCTTGGTACCTTCTGCGCAAGCTGCAGCTGTGAAATTGGACGTGCTAGTGAATTCCGCTGCAGAATCTCATCAAATTGTGTCACCTTTGCAATCAGTAAACCCGAATTCTACAAACATTATGAATCACGTCGACGATGCCATTTCCAGTCCGCAGCAAGGAACTAGAACGAGTCCACCAATCCCAGTGAAGACGATGCTGCTCGAAGCTCTAATGCCACAATCGGTTTCACAGTCGGTGCCACCAATGGCAGCAACTGGTGCAAACGCTGTCTCGTCTTCCGCGTCAGTTCAAGAGTCTCCATCCAATGAGAGTTTACTCACGACGATTAACGCTGCACTTTTGCCACCAGTTACAATACAGGAATCGTCGGTAACTGCAAATGGAACGCCTAATTCAACAGTTCAGTCACATAACGCGCTTCAAGTTACAAATGAAACAATAGCTACAACGGCCGATCATATTCAACAGATGCAAGCTCTAACTCAACAGGAAGTTGTGGTAATACAACAACAAGTACAACAGGTCGAACAGGTTGTTGCACACGCACAACAGCAGGTAGAACAAGTGGTAGCTCAGGTACAACAGCAGGCGGTACAAGCCGTACAACAAGCGCAACAACAAGTAGTACAGCAAGTTGTACAGCACGCACAAGTAGTTCAACAAGCAGTGCAGCAAGTTCAAGCGGTACAACAGGTACAGGTACCTGCAGTTCAGCAAGCTGTACAGCAAGCCACACAAGAAGTCGTACAACAAGCTGTACAGCAAGCAACTCAGGAAGTAGTTCAACAGGTGCAAGCTGTTCAGCAGGCGGTACAACAGGCTCAAGCGGCACAAGCTATGCAGCAAGCTGTTCAACAAGACATTGGATCGATGTTGAATCAGCCAGCAGGATTTGTGGCAGAAGCGAGTTCTGCCTTGGCTAGCGGTGCTGCTCAAGAACCTTCGCAGCAGAGATTAACAACTGCAGCTGAGCAAGCAATCAACAACGTAATTACGAATGCTACAAAAGATATTATCAATAATCGACCAATCACAACGACTACGGCGCACGCCATCATTGCTACGAAAAATATATTAAACAGCGTAGCGACTCAAAGCGCTCAACTAATGAATAGTGCCATGGAAGGGATTTTACCTAAGTCACCTCCTGGGCAAAGTAATATAGTCGAGCAAGTCACTAGCAAATCGCCACCTGTTGCTTTACCTGTTACTCCTAATAGACAGAACGTTAACGCGTCCATACCAAACACAGCACCAAGCGCTGCTGGTTCTTCCGTGAGAAAGCCTGAAGATGTGGGAAACATGCTACCTCAGGAACTCACTTCCATGTCAGAACACGAACTTCTCAATTACATTAATCATAGCTGTTTTGATCCTCAGGGTGGCTTTTTGATGTAGTACTGCCACTTTCTTATCATACAAAGAATATATTCGATCTGTTTAATAAATGCATCGTGAAGACTCGTCAAGACGTTCGATAAGATGTTCGTCAAAATCGTTTACTTTAAATACAGTACCAACGATTTTTACGTGCCACGATACAGTGCCACGATATCCTTTACGAGTTTGTGTGTGATAGGAATGAAGTCGATTTTTTTTATTATTATTATTATTATTATTATTTAAGTATGAACGAAATCCGTTGCAACTCCGGAACAATCGAAATGTGCATGTATATGTTAAGTGAGACGGGCGCATACCGCGCGACAATTAGGGTTTCGTTATATTCTTTTCTACGAGTTGTCAAATGTGATAATTCATTAATTTATCTATATCAATGTCTGCGCATCCAGGTGCCTTTATTCTTACGAAATATCTCGAATTGGTCTTTCTTTCGCAAAGGTGTTACAAAAGAAAGAAAGAAAAATTATCGTAAGTATATTATATCCTATGTGATCAATCGTGTACTGACCCCACTCAAAATGAAATCTCTGTGCACAGTCATGGAATTGAGTGTAGCCAATTTAAGCTTATCATATTTTAACATATGATTCCGAGAAACATAATTTGATTCTACTTTTCCTCTTCTGACTTGATTTCATTAAAAAAAATGGATCATTTGTTATCTGACTTCGTTCCAATTAAATATTAAGTATAATATATTTTTTACGTTACACGTTGTTTAATAATTGATATTTTTTGTTGTTAATTAGTACTGATGATATAATTATGTGATTACGTTGACTATATTATTGATGACAGAGAGATTATATATTATTATATATGTCAATATAGAGAGTAATAGTTAGAGGTATATATGTTATATATATATCGTGATATATATAAATACGAAAAAAGAAATATATATATATATATATACACACACATACACACAGCCATATATATAAATATATATTTTTTACATTTACCCAAAGAGACGAATGAACGGCCAGATACGAAGTCAAGTGAACTTATTGAAGATTTAACGAAGTCTACATATACATGTACACACATGCGCACTTATATGTACGTATGTAGATACGACATAAATACATGCGTAACATCGAATTATATTGGGATATATTCCCTTTTGTTCTTAATAAGGGGTGCTATAAGTACTATGAGTACGAATACTCGCCAAGATTATCTAATACTATAAATGCGAATTTTATAACGAAAATATTGAAACATTTATTGTCGTGATATATCTTTGTAGCAAAACATATATTTTATATCAATCATCTAAATGTGCCGATATAATGTCCATGGTCACGTAAGTGCATTCACGATCGAGATGTAAGATGCATCTCACTCGCAAAATAGCCGAATGGCAAAATTATAAAAAAGAAATCATTATACTATGTGGTATGTATTTTGTCACTGAAACTTATTTGTAATATATACTGTACACTGTATACGCACATCAAGTGTTAAAGATTTGCCATCTGAAAGAATGCCCATGAGTATGTATTATTGTTACTTCTATAAGTTGAATAAATGTTTCACAGCATTGCTCGATGGAATTTTCTTAGTACATATATACAAATTTTATATTATAGGTAGTTCATTATTCACAATATTTATAATTAAATGCTTGTGTTACTATGTATCAAATTTTATATTTTCTGAGATTTTCCATTCACCCTCTTTGCCTACTACTTTTGTTTCTTTTAGTAATTTTTGTAAATGATGCATTACATTATGTGCTGCTGCAGGCCAGAGATTTTTTGGAGTGTCCTAAAAATATAGGTAATGTATATTGATAGTACATACTTGTAATAATGAAATTACATTATTAGATTACAACCTTATATATAATTTGTACAATATCCATTTCTGACATGAAACTAGAGTTACTATTTTCTTTTAAAACATTTAAAATTTGTTCCTCCCTTTGTTTTCGATGCTGAATATAATATTCAATACGTGGAACAGGATCTTTTATTATAGGCCCATGACCAGGATAAATTACAGATGGTTTTATATCTAAAATTTTTTGTAAAGAAATCATATAATCGTGTAAATCTTCAAATACGGCGGTGCCTTCACCCAAAATGCAATCACCGCTAAATAAACTATGTTCGTCCTTTAATAATAGGCATACATGATCTGTTGTATGACCAGGTGTATGTTTCACTTGTATTTTTGTTCCTTCTACTTCAATTATTTGTTCATCTTTTAATGATTTACATTGTTTTAAAAGATCAGGTGTTACTTGAAGTTTTTCATATGTAGGTAATTTCCATATCGTTGGTGGATTGTCATTAGGCTTTGTTGTCATTAATAATTCTTGAACAGAATTTATACCACCGATATGATCATGATGCCAATGTGTGATTATCACATGCTCTATTGTAGCATTTTCTTCTATAAGTACATTTTTTAATAATTTGATATACTCAGCTGATGTTTCTATGTCTCCTGTATCAATTAATACACGCCTATAATTAAATATTAATATTAATTATAATATAGCAATATGATCTCAAAATATTATATTTTCCTTCTTTCTCAATTTGATTTGATTACTTTAATTTTAATGGTTCTGCTATATTTTATATGTATGTAAGACAATGATAAATAATATGTTGATATGTTCTCTTCTAATAATTACTATTAATATTTACCTTGTTCCTGAACCAATAAGATATGTATTTGTGCCTTGAAGTGTCATAGGACCAGGATTGCATCCAAGAATCCGAATGATTTTATTTGAGATTTTGGATACTAAAGGCAAAGATGTTAATCGCATCGTCATTTTTCTTTTGCATTCAATTGCATTAAAACTGCGCTGTGGCGTATGTGATTTTAGCGACAAATATGGACAAAATATGAACTACAAGTATAATAAGAAACTATTGTACCAAGTGCCTATTTCATCGGTATATAAGCTTAAGTAGCTTATATAATCACTCATAACCTAAAAATTGAGTTAGTGTGTAATAAAAATTTTTGTACATAGTAAAAATTTTACTTCTACAGATTATATTTTTCTGAAGATAGATTAATTGAAAAGTATTTGTTAATTATATAAACTTTTTATATTTTTTGTTTCTTATTAATTACTTATACAAATAATTGAAGCGTATTTAAACAGCCATTAGTCTCAATATTGCTTACGATGAGATACATAAGTTATGTAACATAACATATAAAATATAAAATATAAAAAAATTTAACAACAAAAGTAGAAAGCATATCTTGATGCATATCTTGAATTCTGAGATATGTGGATATGATGCATAAGTAAAATATAAAAAATCTGAGAAGCATAAATAAGAATAAATAAGAATAATAAAGAAATTAAAAGTCTTCTGTGGGTTTCTCTAGAAAATTATTTTAGAATTCTACTATATCTAATCTATTTATCTGTTGAAGTATGATTAGCAATGTAAAATATAAGTACTTTAGTGTATAGTTAGAAATAGAAAGAAAAGATTTTGAAAATGCATTGAAATATGCAATCAATCGTTCAGTAATAGTTACGTTATATAATTTAGATTTAGATTTCGATATATCGCAAGTAATACCGAACCAGGTATCGCCACAATGAGATTGTTACTTGTAGAGATCCATAGGTTGATGATAATTCTACCCTAAAATCTGCGGATCGAGGTGATATGACATTTATCGAGAGTTTAGATTCCAACGCTAAGTAGAAAACAACATTGCAATTTTTAATCACCATTATTGAATGCTTTAAAAATTTCGAACAATAAAACGGAATCCACGGTAAAACTTAATCACCCTCACGAATACCCATATCTGTGCTCGCCGACATTCTCTTTCTCCATATAATACGGAAAGATTCCATAAACTTCCATGGAAAAATTGAATCCCATGATCCATGACAAAATGAGCCTCTCTATGAAAAATCAGACCCATGCCGATCTATTGAATCATCATCAATAATATATAATATGAATAATGTATAATGTTCGTTTAAACAATATACGGTTTATAACACGCTTTAAATATAAAATAATTTCAATTTATTATTTCAATATCATTAAATTTTTAATTCTCTGCTGTTGTCTTCATCAAATATCAATCAAAAAAATGAATTTTTTGCGGACTTTGTTAGTTGCCGGATTAGTTTTCTTTTACATTCCGACAAGTAAACATCTAAGCTCTCTTTTCGAAAGAATAAGATTAAAACGTAATTAACGCGCATTAAATATAAAATGATTTTACTTTAACTATTTATATTCATTTAATATAAACGAACTATTCATTGATTTTGAATGTTATTGAACTAATTTTCTTTTGCATTCCGACGAGAAACATCGAAGATCTCTCTTTCCAAATGTCTAAAATTAAAATATTAATTTACGTCTAAGATAAAGTATTTATCTATTCTCATTAATTATTATTTATAAGTGTCGAATAGGACTTATGGGTAAGAGCCTTGACCCAGAGTCCTTCTTTCAGCAGGGAATATCGAACTTAATTTTATTTAATTTTTCTGATTTTGCTTTTCGAATTGTCTACCTCTTGTTCCGAGTTATATTCTTCTCGCATACATAGGTGTTCCGGTTTTCTTTTATTTTTTTTCTCTTCTTTTTTTACTAATTTTTTTTCTCTTTCTCCGCTTCGTTCGTCTTTTTCTAATTAACCTTCTTCTTTTTCCTATTGAATTTCTTCTCTCATTATTTTTTTCTATCTCCTCTTTCTCCTCTTCTGTTCAGATTAGATCATCGAAGAAAAAATCATCGGATGAGACCCTTGAGAGGAGCCTTGGACGGGTCTCTTTCAGTAGAAAAAAATCGAGCTCGATTTTGATCGGGTGGAGCAATGTCCATCTCTCGTTTTGAATTTTATCATTTCACGTGCGCGTACGTTCCGTCTTTTTTCTTCTCTTTCTCTTCTTCTCTTCTACTTCTTCTCTAATTTCGATCATTGAGAAATGAATTCATCTGCAAAATGAATTCATCGGCCAGCGAAGATTCGATATATTGGCGCGGGTTCGATGTATTGTCGAATGACATGGTTCATCATTGATTTTTACACGGGAATACGGATAGGATAGGAAGAATATACTCGCGCGTATCAGCGGGCATAGGCATGAATTCTCGCAGACGCGATTTCATTTGATTGCTTGAAACGAATAGATCAGTCATGTTAGAGAACGGTATATGTAGCTGCCGATGTTGCCACGATCCTGTCATCCATAAGCGAGGACCATGCTTCTTGCCAAGATAACGTTGGGAGTTAGAATTTTCGATTAACTCATGTTACTTCGGTAATGCCAGGAACGTAGATTTTAGAATAAAGTCACCATTATTTTAACACTTAAGTGAATGTTTGCGGATACGATTAAAAATTCTGCCGTGGACTTCGTTTTATTGTTCATAATTTCAATTAGAAAATCGGGAACGCGGATTTTAAAGTAGAGTAACTGTTAGCCCATAGGTCTCCAGATGTAGTAATCTCTACGTGATGAGACCTGAGTTGATAGTACTTGAGATATATCGAAATGTTATTAGATGCAAGTACTATTGAGCAAATGACTATATATTTCAAAACCTTTCCGAAATCTTTTCAGTCTAATTCTGAACATTGAAGTACTTACATTTTACATTGCTAATTATATTTCAACAGATAAATAGATTGGATATAATAGAATTCTAAAGTAATTTTTTAGGGAAACGCACAAAAAACTTTTCTATCCAACTTATACTCGCCATCGTACCTACATATTTCCTATTTATTTTTATTTACTCTTATTAATTATTATTTATAAGTGTCGAGTGGGACCCTTGGGAGGAGCTCTTGGGTATGAACCCTTGGAAAGAATCTTGGGCAGATCTTCTTTTAGTACACAAAAATCGAACTAGATTTTAGTACTTTGATTCTGGTTTTCTTTTCTTTTCTTTTCTTTCTCTTCTTCTCTTCTTCTCATCTTTGCTTTCTCTTTTTCTCTTTCTTTTTCTCTCCTCCTTTTCTTCTTTTAATCTTTTTTTTCTTAAAGCTAGATCATTGAGGAACAAATCATCGGCGGGTCAGATGGTCTACGAAAATTCAGTATATCGACATGGGTCCTATGTATTGCTTAGCGGCTCGGTTCAATATCGTGGGATTAGATTTTTACACAGAAGCTTCTAGAACTTTTCCGCATTGTATACAGAGAGGATATATCTTCTTTCTCCCATACGGGTAGGATAATAACACTTGCGCACAGGCGTAAATGTTCATGGACACGATTATACCCTACCTTTTACTTCATTTTATTTTTCGAAATTCGGAAAGTACGTACAGTCATACTTACTAGTGTGATGATTGAATCCAATGTTACGATGGTCCTACTATTTTTAAGCGGGGAGCAAATCTCCTCACAAATCCCTTAATATTGGGAGTCAGAATTCTCGGTAAATGACATATTACCCCGGTATCGCGGATTTTATGTATTTGGGTCTTCAGATGTAACAATCTTCATGTGGTGAAACCTGGTTTGATATTACTTGCGATATAAGTAACACTGAGTGAATGGCTGCATATTTAAATGCCTTTCCAAAATCTATTTTTTCTAATTTTAACTGAACGTTAAAGTACTTGCATTTTACGTTGTTAATTATACTTCGATAGATAAGCAGATTATATATTGTAAACTTTTTAAATAATTTTTTAAATGAACATTGAAAAATTCTAATTTCTTTATTTCTCATTATTTCATATTTATTTTTATATTTACTTTTATTTACCCATATTTTATTTTCTATCCTATTTATATTCGCCATTATATCCACATATTTGAGAAATCAAGATATACATCAGCGGTTTTCTTTCTAGCAGTTGTTGCTATTATTTTTTATATATATGATCTTATGTATTTTGACCCAAGTAATATAGAACTAAATACACTTTAACTATTTATATAAGTTTAACTAGAAACAAAAAATATAACAAATACTTTTCAATTAATTTATCTTCAAAGTTTTGGCTTATGATTTTATTTTGCTTTAGTTAGATATATTATCATTTGTCAGATTTTCACTGCAATATAAAAATTCTTCTCAGATATTAATTGGATTGTTAGATTTCGTTTGAGAGAGATATAATTTATATGAGTTTATACACCGGCGATACAATAGGCGCATAGCAAGAAACAGTATTTCCCTATTGCTTTTATAGTTCATATTTTTTCCATAATTGTCGCTGCAATCGTATATGCTATGAGCGATAAGTAGTCAATCGTTAATCAAAACTGAATTATCGATAATGATAAATTATTTTTATCGATACATCAGTACACTCTACAATAAAGTTGATGAAGCATATTATCAAATTGATTTTATTTATGTGATAGATTTTTCAGAATATTTTATTAAAATATTTAATATTTTATTATATATAAGATACATATATATTTATATTTATTTATTTATTTATTTATTTATTTATGAAAAATTATACGTTTACTATATAGCTCTATATTATTATTTATATAATTTCCTAGGATAAATTCTAAACATTTAGATATTACAAATTTTTTGTTCATGTATATTTTTTTTTCGATTTTCAACATTAATTCAAAATTTTTTAATATAAAATGAAAATCTTTGCAGAAGGTGAATTTGATCATCGATTGTTTAAGAAAATGCAAAAATTTTATTTCTTGGTGGGATTTGATCCTTGATCGCTTGAATAATCTGTTAGATTTTCCAAAATCCTAAGAAATTTATTATAGCCATCTACCAATACGGCGGTAACTATTTACAGAACTTAAAACGTTGAAGTCCTATAAAAACTTCAGTATTGTCAGTTAAACGAAAAATATCGCTGTTTGTAGGACAATGGACGTGATCTCTGATTCTTAAAAAAATTAAGTTTATTTTATAATGAATATAAAATTGAAAATAACAAACGGCTGAAATTATTTGTTAAAACAGAAGAAAGTGAATGTTATTTTGTTATTCAGCTAAAAACGTTGAAACGGATTTTGTTTGCAAAACACTAACCTGTATACGTTAGTAATGCGTTGTATTTTATTATTACGCCATAATGAAAAAGGATGATGAAAAGTTATTAAATATTTTATTATTAATTTTTATCATGAATTGAAACTTCGTGCTCGTATTGAAATTATACGTACATGCTACAATTTTGTTTGTAAACAAACGTATTTTTATTTCGTATATCCACGTGTTATGTATACTCTTCGGAATTGTATAGAATGGCTGAAAAAGATGGTAAAATCGAATTTGTGACAGAACCTTTTCCTATTAAACCTCGAAAATTCGGACCACAAAATGTTGTTGTACGTCTTAGAAGAAGAGAAACGTTTGGCTGTCCATATCCTGGAACTCATGTTCATAGTGCTAGACAATTTTATCAAAATGTATTTCCAAATTTTACAATTATGAATGTGGAAAAGCCTCCTTGTTTTCTCAGGAAATTCAGTCCAGATGGAAAATATTTGATTGCTTTTAGTGCAGATCAAACATCTATAGAAGTATATGAATATCGTGGAGCATCTGCTGCAGCAGATCTTTTAGCTGACATTGAAGGTGAATACATAGGACATAAAAATGATGATGTTAGTATTAATATAAGATGCAATGTTTTCAGTCGATTTTTCAAGGTATTTATCCTGTAATTTCGTGTTTTAAGTTTAGTGTGGTTTAATCTAAACAATTTTTAAAATAATTATAGGCTAAATGGACAATTAATGTGGTTCAGTGCAATCAACAATTAAATAGAGAATGTAGTCTATTTACAGATGATTGTCGTTATGTTATTGTTGGCTCTGCGGCACATATTCCTGATGAACTCAGGCCTCATTTTTATCAAGTATGTATAGAAGAATATATTGCAAATATATAGTTATAATATCCTTTAGAATATCATGCGGTAATCTCATTCGATAAAGATTATTTTAACATTGCATTGTTTTTTAAGATTTATTCAAATAATGAAGCATTGACACCCAATCCAAGATCTCCACTAGAGGATTATACTCTGCACTTAGTTGATATACGAGATGGAAAATTATGTCATACTAGACATTTCAAAGTTGATAAAATATATTTATCACATAATCAAGGTATTGTATAAAATATTATAATATATTATATAAAATAATTCTGTTACAAAAGAATATTAAATAATTAATTCATATTAAATTTTAGGTCTGTATTTATACAAAGATATTTTGGCTGTGTTATCTGTGCAACACCAAACTATACATGTATTTAAAATTCTTAATGGAATGTTTATATATATCAAGTTAATAGGAAGGTATGATTACAACCATTTAACCATCTTTCTTCTAAGCATAAAAAAGTAGTTATTAAATAAATATCAAACATTTAAAAATAGGTTTTGTATGGGAGATGAAGCTTATTTATTTTCATTTGGTGCATGGCGTGGCGTAAATTATAGATCATTTAGGGATACGAGAATAAACAGCCTTAAACACAAATTATTAGTATTTTTATATAGAAGGGCAGAATATATAAGTGATACAACTAATGACCCATATGAATTGAGACGATTTTATCAATATTTTGATCAGGTATATTAAATCATAATACGTAATTAGTCATAAGTAACATGTTTTTATTGACATTTGTACTCTGATATAATATTTCAGTTGAATGCATTGAGAATGTGGAAGATGCAATTATTGGATGCAAATCATATACTTATAAGGTTTGCTAGCGAAGAAGTTGCAACTCTTCAGGCAAATGAACCAAATGCACAACCAGCTCTTCTTGTTGTATATAATATGGAGACTGCTAAAATTTTGGCAGTATATGATAATGCATCTACTCAATTATTAACCCAATTTGAAAATTTCAGTGATTTTTTTAGAAATGCTAGAATGAGTACAGATTGCCAGTATATGTGTTCCCCGTCAAATAATATTTATGCACGGTACTACATTTTTTTCTACATAAAAAAAAAGATGTACAAAAAATTACTTTCATATTTAAAATATGTTTGTTAACAATTTAATGAATTCTATAGATTAATGCAACAGAGATTTAAACAGACAATAGTCAGTGCCAGATATGGTGGTATTACAGAGGCGACAAAAAGATTACTTGCACAATTACCAATTTGTGCTCAATCTTATTCAAGTTCTCCATACCTTGATCTATCTTTGTTCTGTTATGATGATAAATGGGTATCTATGATGGAACGACCTAAAGCTTCTGGAGAACATCCTATTCGGTACATTGGTATTTAAGTTTATTTTATATTACCTTGATTATAATTTAACATGTAATTTTTTATTTTTCATAGCTTTTATGCGCGTGATTCAGGTCTTCTAAAATTCAAAATGTACGCAGGAATGTTTGGTCGTACAGCACCAACTGCAGCAAGAAGATTAGTAGCGTTTATTTTTCATCCAACAGATCCATTTGCTATATCAGTTCAACGTACCAATGCTGAATACATTGTCAGTTTCCATATAAGGCATATCTGAATGATGTATAATAATATTGTATCAAAAATTTCTATTTTCAAGACATTGTTGCTCTGTTTTATCAAGCTGCTTAAAATAATTTGGTAGTATATAAAATACTTTTCTATCTAAGAACAAAAATATCATATTTATATTGATATATGGCAAGATATAAATGTAAATATAAAATTCTTTATACCTAGATTTTTTGTACAAAATAATAAGGACTCAATATTTAATATCATCATTTAGAGTCACAATTGTCTCCTTTATTGTACATAAGCGGAATAATATAAAATAATTTTTGCCATATTTTATGCTGAAGATTATAAAGACATTTCTAACATTAATATAATATACAAAAAATTGATATAAATACAAAATATTAATAAAGAAGAATAAGTTATAAAAAAACTAATTCTTTTAACAATAAACTTTTGAAGAATTTTAGCTTTATACAAATTGTATTTTTATTAATGTTTATAATACATCTTGCTTCATTATCCAATCATTTCCCAATATAAAGATAAATTTACATCATACGAATACAAAAGTAGAATTAAATAAATTAAAAAAAACATATTTGTAAAACAATTTATAATGACGTGATAGATAATTTGTGAAAATCACATTTTATGTATTAAATATATTTAAAAATCAACTTATGAAAAAGAAAAAGGAAGAAAGATAAGAAGTTATATAGAAACAAAGTAAAAAAAAAATGTTAGATTGATTTGATATTCATCTGATGATCGAACCATAATTGGCCACAAAAATCTTACATTCCTTTCGACCGCCATTGTTATAGCAACCTGTAGCTCCTTCGAGCTCCTTGCAGCACCACCTATAACCCACGCCAAAGAACTACAAGCTACGTGTCGTAATCATAAAAAAAGGATGTAACGTGAGCTACGGCCGTGCAATGGTGTTTGGATATTATTCATATTACATTTCATAGTATAATCGGCAGTATTGGTATAAAAAGACAAAGAAAGGGAAAAAAAGAAACTTATCTTCGAGCACGACATTAGTACAAGATAACCTGATTCTGGCGTCCATGTATATTTGGAAACGTAAGTAAAGCGTGTACATCTTTTTACTTATTCAAACATGCAAGCTTCTTCGCATCTTTTTTCTTTAATGCTCTAACATATATTTATATTTCATTATATAAAAATGATATTTTCTAAATTTTACTGTTATAAAGATGACGTTGTTTGACGTATAAAATTATCCATTATAGTTTTCAATGAAAGCGTCCTAATTACCACGCTCGGTCAATGCTGCGTTATATGAGAATGCAGACCTTATTTAACAAAGATGTTGCATCCTTCGTGTAGTTTCATTATATTCACTTCTAGAATCGTTTATATTCTGAGGAAGATCATACAGTTGTATTATTTTCAACAAAAAGCTTAAAACTATTACAAATTATCATCAATATCCTTTGTTTATTTATCATGTTTTTTTTTTTATTACAGATATTCTGCTGAAATACAATTTAAAATATATTCTTAAAGAACAGTTATGATAAAAAGTTAACATTGTTTATTACAATTTGATTACTTAGTTTATTGAAGTTTAGTATTATGTTTATCTTCCAGTTATTAATTATTATTTTTATTAACTAATCATTCAAAGCTTGATATAATACAAAGATAAAAAAGCTTTTTTAAAAACGTGTATACGTGCATGTTTTATATTTTTGTTAAAAAAGAACGGATAAGATTATGTTTAATAATCAAATGACAAGTACAACATCAAATGAAAATGATTGTACAGAAGAACACAATTTGAATAATGAAAGAAAAGAACAGAAATTCATTATAGATGTGAGTCCACCAAACGATAATAGATATTTTGTGAAGCGAGCATATACATCACCAAGAATACTTAGTAAATCAGTACCACGAAGAAATAGAAGTTTCATTCGTTATAAAATAAATAGATCATTAAGTTTTGATAATGCTAAGAATGATCGTTTATTTAAATCTCCTAATTCTAGTTCAGGAAGTAGCTCTTTTGATAATGATAAGCATCTAACAAGATCAGCTAAAATAATGAGAGCACTAAATTTTAATTGTAGCCCTTTCTATAATCAAAGAAAGAAAATAAAAAAGACATTAAATTTTAACTTAACTCCAAGTCCAAAGAAATTTTCCAATCTCAGAATTTCACGAGATAATATAAATTTCAATTTGACTTCATCTTCACCTAAAATTAATAAAACTTTGAATTTTGACACAAGTCCAAGTGATTCTAGTACCAATAGTATATTACTTACATCATTTGATTCTATGGATGAAAATCAAAATCAAACTCCTTCTCAGCGAAATACAAAGACTAAAAAGTTATTGAATTATATTACACCCAAGAAAAGGATGTATGTTTCATCTCCAGATATGGATATTTCTTCTCCATCTTTACGTCTTAGTCTTAAAGAAAAAATTGATGACATTGTACAAATGAGTAGTTTGCCTGTTCCACATTCTTTCAATAAAGATAGAAAAGCGTTAAATTTTAATACTCGCTGCAATATCAGCACACCAAGAAATTTGTATGCTGATTTTTCTAACGAGGATGATGAAAGACCATGTACACCTGAAAATACAATTTCCATTGTTCCTGAAAGTATGAGTGCCATAAAGAAGAGTCATAAAAAGGTAAAAATATTTTTTTATTGAACTTATATTTTTATTAATTTACTGTACAAGTATTCTTGTATTCCTTTTTACATAGGAAAGATCTCTACGACAAACGGATAATTTATCTACAAAGCATGCAAATGTATTACAAAAATTAACAGATCCTTTCATGGTTGAGCAATTTGATAATTTGCAAACAGAAAAAAGACCCTTAACTCCACCAATGGCTGAAAAAAGTATTGTATCTGTCTGTGATACAAATTCTATTAAGCAATCTCATAAAAAAGATAAAAATAAGAAAAAAATGTCAATGTTTCATTCAGGTGATGAACTTTCTGACTCAGGATCTATTTTTGATTATTCTATAGAATCCATAGAACAAGGAAATATACAACAAAAAATTAATACATGCCATACTGATCTTGATCTTAATAAAAATGAAGATAATATGGACTGTGACTCAAATAGTAACAATGTATCAACAAATAGTATTGGTTGTTGTGAATTGATAAATAGTTCAAATGAAACTGAAAACGATCAAATTATGAATAATGTCAGTAATATGGATACAAAATCTAGTTCTTGCCTTGAAGAACAAACATGTAACATAGTTTCCCAGAATCCTTTACCAAGTACTAGTAATGCCAATGAAAAAAGCAGGCCAGTAACACCAAATGCACTTGAAACAAATTCTATATCTTCAATAAGAGTAATTACTCCAGAAAATCATATAAATTTTTTACAATATATTCAAACTGAGTCAATTAAAAAATCTCATAAGAAGATTAAAGATGAAAATAGGAAGAAACTTTTTTTACCTAGAAGTCTTGAACATAAACTTAAAGAAGAAAAATTGGATACTACTAAAAATAAGCATTCGGAAGTATCAAAAGATGATCAAAATGATAATAATATTCTAGCAAATATTGATACAGAAATTAATATTCGTGCAAGTACACCTGAAAACGTTAATTCTAGCAGATTGTTATTGTCAAACTTTAGTTCAGTTAAAAAATCACATAAAAAAGACAAGCATAATAAGATTGTTTCAGAATTTATGCGACGTCAAAAATTGTTAAATAGAGATGCAGATTATAACAATGTGCAACGCGAAATGCACAATGACGTAAACAAGAAAGATCAACGAAAAATAAAGAACAAATCTATTAACAGTGATACTATGTCTAATTTACATTTAGATAATATCAAATTTAACAATAAACTGTCTCCTAGTAAAAGAAAAATATTGTCCAATTTATCAGATGATGATTTATTACATTTATTGTGCAATTCTAAATCAACACAAAGTGAGGGTGGAAGTACGGAGGAGTTCAAAATTTGTACACCAATAAAGAAAAGAAAACCATTACTAAAAACTGGTTTGAAATCTGATTGTTTACATGATGTACAGTCAGATAAAAATGATTCATTTGAAGAAGAGATAATGAATATTGATGCATCTCGATGTATAACGCCAATTCTAAGACATCTTGGTTGTACAGTATTACCAGTGCATAATACGGATCTATTAAAAACAGATAATGATGGAAAGACTGCAAATAATGAAAAAAGTAATTCAGTAGAGGAACAACAGTCTGATCAAAATGGAAGATCAACGCCCAAAAATATGTCTACAATAGAATTACTTCCTAACATTAATTCCATTAAAAAATCTCATAAAAAGGATAAACGTGGAAATGGGTTACATAGAAGCCTTATTTTAGAACAAGAAAAATTACTTTTAAAGAAAAATGATTATGAATTTTTACAGGTCGTAGATCATAGAACTTCAACAATAGTTTCTAAACCAAATGATAATAAATCAAGTTTAGCTGATAATACTTCTTCAACCAACAAATTGAACGATGGTAGTAATAATAATGGGGAAAGTTCTACAATTACAATTTATAAAAATCCCCAAAGTTTCAATCAAGATGTTAATGTTAAAGATAGAAAAAATATGCTAACAAATGATACTACCTCATCTAATAGAACTCCACCTAACTGTTTAATGGTAAAAAATTATATTAGACTGTTGCAAGCAACTTCAATAAAAAAATCCCATAAAAAAGAACGAGATCGTAAAAAGCACAAAATGATCAACAATGACCTAGAATTGTCAGATGAAGGATCTATATTTGGAGAAAATGAAAAAGTTGATTCCTTAGAAGATTTACATATTGAAATTAATAGCAATGAGACTGATATAGATAGATCTGATTATGTATAAATTATAAATGGAAAGATATAATTAAAAGAAAGTAAAACAAACAAGGTATTTATTATTAATCATTATTAATACGTTAACTAGAATATTTTTACTAATTCATATCTTTTTTAGATTTAATTAATTATAACTGAAGAGTCCACATTTTTTTAGTGGCAATATTCTAAGAATGGATTTATATTCATTCATGTAAGGCATTCTTATTTTCAGTATTTCCAGTAAAACACATAATACAGCCTTTTGTTGGCATTAATGTATTTGCTCTCTTATTTTTTTATGAACCTAATTTAATGTTAATAGTATTCTTATAAGAAAAATCTCTGATTTAAAGCTGAATGCACCAACAAATGAGAAAAATCTTTGTTAAAAACGAATCTATGATACAATATAATTTTCATATTAATTTTTTATACATTATTGTTAACAGTATTCGTAAATGTAAATTTTATAAAATTAATCCTATTCTAACAGTGATATATTAACCAAATTATTATTTTAAAAACTAACATCATTGATGAAATAATTGAGGATGTTAAAATTAGGCCAATTATTTCTTGTAATACCTTAATAATATTAAGTAATTATCTTAAGACATTAATCAATGCGAAAGTTATTCCAAAAGGTGTTGGTTAATGTTTATTAAAACTACTTTTAGTGTAGAATGATTGATCATAATCTGGGGCCAATTTTTCTGCACTTTAGTTATAATAGATAATAAAAAAAGAAGTAACATCTAACTTTATAATGTAAAGTGATATCATTATTGGTTTCATCATTACAACACATTATAAAGGGAAATACATATAAGTTGTGAGATGATAATAATAAGACTAACACAGCTTTATGCTGAATGTTTAAAAATTGCTAATTAGTATTACCAAGAATGATGGTGTCAAGATATATTGAAAAAGTTACACGGCAATATAATCGAAATTGTTTCTTATAAGAAGTTTAGTTTATATCTGATATATGTTTGTTACAAAATAGTAAGACATTGTTAAGTTAACTTCCACGTATCATTACCTAAAGCCTGTTATATTTGGTAGATAATTTATAAATACTATGTTTTTATTTTATGTCGTTTATTTAGTATTTTTACATAAACTAGTTATTTTTTTACGTATAAATTGGACTATGAATCAAGGTGCATTTTGACTTATCATATATTACGAATAATACACTTGCATTAAAATATCAGGCATATGTACATATCTGTTTCTATGTTGGGAATTCCACTTTTAAAATATTGAAGATATGTAAATCCTAGTATAAATGTGATATGTATATAATGCTTAACTTTAGTAAGTATCGTTTAGATTTAAGAATTACATTTCAAATATAACTATGTTCCTTATTAAACTCTCTTTCATTTCTCTTTCTTTAAAAAGAAACAAAAAATATTAAAATGCTATAATAAATAATAATGTTTGTTTCATCAATAAAAAATACAGTATTTACGTTTGATGGTCGGTTACATAGAGAAATAAAATTTTTTTGTGTTACTATAAGTTAAAAGGTTAAAACCATTATCCATATGAAAGCTTGTACCATAGCTTGTGATATCGTTTACCATTACACTTTAATCTAGTATATTTAGTATGTATATTCTGCATGTTTGTAACGAAGTATTTTGTACATTTATATAAAAAAAAAAAAAAAAAAAAAAAATAAAATAACATAAAGGCAACATTTATTAAAAATTTAAATCTTGATTAGATCAATTAAGTAATGAAATATGAGAAGTATTGAAAGATAAGTACAGAAAATTTATTACTTACATTAATTTATATCATTATACAAAGAATTTCAAACATATTTGTATTACAGAGATTTTTGAATCGCAGCTATAATTCGCGCGTAAAGAAATTGTAAAAACTAATATGGTGAATTACATTCATTGGGTTAGCAGTGGTTACTGATTGGTGACTCTACGCACGCTCGCTATTGGTGCTAAACAATATGACGTAAAAATATTTATCCAGTGTTGAGTACTGTTGATCAAATATTATATGTACACTCTATATTAACATGATTCATGATTGAAAAAACGGACTACCAATGTGGTCATATGTACAAAGTTATTTTAATAACATAGTGTAGTATTGGTTATTGTTACTCATTAAATAAAAAGAGTTTTTGAACGATATTGAACAAATAATTTAAGGAAACATCCAGGAAATTTTTATTGTTATATTTTTTAAAGTTAAGTCATCATGGGAAAGTTAAATGTTACGATGTTACGTTATTTAACGAAGGAAGATTTCCGTGTATTGACGGCTGTAAGTATAAAAACAGAAATAGCAGAATAGTACAAGATTTATTACAGATACGTGTATATGGATAATCTTGCAATTTTTAGATTGAAATGGGTATGAAAAATCATGAACTTGTACCAGCTTCACTTGCTGCACAAATAGCAAATTTGCGTTATGGTGGAGTTCATAAATTATTAAAAGAACTGTGTAAGCATCGATTACTCAGTTATGAAAGAGGAAAACATTGTATGTTATATGTAAAAATTTATTTTTAATTATTACTGTTTTACTATACATATATATATTAAATTATATATAATGTATTATTTCAGATGATGGTTATCGTTTGACGAATGCTGGTTATGATTACTTAGCCTTAAAAGTATTGACACAAAGAGGCATTGTTGGTTCTTTTGGCAACCAAATAGGTATTGGAAAAGAATCGAACATTTATGTAGTTGCAGACGAAGAAGGAAATCCAGTCTGCTTGAAGTTACATAGATTAGGTAGAACATGCTTCAGAAATATCAAAGGAAAAAGAGATTACCATCAGCACAGAAAATCTGCATCCTGGTTGTATCTATCTCGAATATCAGCAACAAGAGAGTTTGCTTATATGAAAGCGCTCATGGATAGAGGATTTCCAGTACCAAAACCAATTGATTTTAATCGACATTGTGTTGTTATGGAGCTGGTTGAAGGTGGACCTTTGTAAGTTTTTATTATGAATTGAATTTATTATTTATATTTAATTTTATTATAATACATTAAATTTCATTGTGTAGGTGTGGTGTTTATGAAGTAAGTGATGTGGAAGCATTGTATGATGAATTGATGAATTTAATTGTCACACTTGGAAATTATGGTGTTATCCATGGTGATTTTAATGAATTTAATATTATGATAACGAATGATGGTAAACCAATTATTATTGATTTTCCACAAATGATTTCCACCGAGCATATAAATGCAGAGCTTTATTTTGAAAGAGATGTCAATTGTATTCGTGATTTTTTTAAAAGAAGATTTGGATATGAAAGTGAACTCTATCCTACCTTCAAAGATGTTTTGTAAGTCAAATAAATTTTTATTCTAAACATACATTTTCAATTATGCTGTTAATGACAATGTTTAAATATATTTTTAGACGAGAAGATTGTGTTGATATAGAAATTAAAGCTAGTGGTCTTACAAAACAGATGGAAAAAGATCTATTAATAGAAATGGGTTTTGAAAAGGATGAAAGTGACGGAACGTATGATGATGATGATAATGATAATGTTCAAGAGTTAAATGTCGAAAATGAAATAGATAATTTACGATCAGAAGTGGAACAATTGATGCATGAAGATATACCTTCATCAAGATATAAACAGGAAGAAAAAATTGAATCTTTAAAAGAAGAAGTTGATACAAATATCGGAATAAGACAACTCAAAATAAATGACAGTAAAGATAATGATGATATAGATAAAAAAAATAAATCGATAGAAAATAAACCTGACATTCCATGCGAAATTGGAACTATGGCAAATCTAAATACTGTTTTTTCGTCAAATTGTACTAACACATTAGAGACTGATTCTATTGATGATAATGAATTTAGTGATCTAAACAGTGTCAGAAGTGTTTCGACAGCAGCCACTATATCACCGAATGTAATAAAAAAGAGAACAAAACAATCTTTAGAAAAACGAGAAAGAAAGGGCCTTTCTAGAAAGATTCTAGTGAAAGGTGAAGCTAGTGCAGTAACTAGAGTTAGAAGGGAAAATAGAGATACTATCAAACAGTCTACTACAGGTATATGGGGCTGGGAGTAAGATTATTATTTATCTTTAAATTATTATAACAATAACAAAAGAATGTATTTTTACTATACAAAAGTGCATAGATAATACTGCAAATATAAATTGGATTTATATGATTTACATATGCCATCGTACACTATACAGTTTTTAAGTTATTTTTTGGGTAATCCATTATGAATGAAATTATTTCCTATCCAATGTCTACTAGATTTCATTTTGTATTAGAATTTTATTAAATCTTCATATGCAGTAATCTCTAATCAACACCCAAGCAATCGATGTTATTAATGTGATCAATTGTTTTTTCTTTATTACAATGAAAATATTGTCAAGCAAACTATTTATGTTTAGTTTCTTTTTTATTCAAATATAATAAATATCTATATATTTTTGAATTTATAATTCAAAACTGACTTATCTACAGTAGACAAAATTTATTTCTAACAATAACACTAGATGGCGCCACGGTAATTTTCTTTACAGAAAATTTTTGTAATATATAAAATATTTATTTTATTGATTTTAAATCTTTTAAAAATGCTTAAGTCTCACTTAGCTTAAATATTAATTTGAGCAGTAGATATGCATCTAATAAAAAAGCTACATGAATTGTTACGAGCTTTTAAGTGTTTGTGATTTCATTTATAATTTGATATTTTATTTATAATTTCTATTGATAAATGATTACAAATTCTATAAGCAAAGATATACATATCTAGGTATTATAATAGCAGAAAAGAAATAAACTTTTTTCATGGAAGGAATGTAGGAAAATCGTTAGAATGTAATTAAAAAAATTCAATGAGGTCTTTGAATGTCTGAGTTATTAGAAACCACTTAGACATTGTATTGTTGTATTGATGTATACGTATTTTTTGAATGTACGAAGCATAGTATGTGTGAGTACATTAGTTACAAGATACTTTATACAATAAGGTCTTACAGCAATGCTGCGAGCCAATTTCTAAAAAGAAAAAATTGAAACGTTTACGCTTCAAAAAAAATAATAGTTTTTTTTTTTCACTAATATACAATAAAACAGTGCACTTTATCCTTGTATTCAAATATATAATGACAATTCAAACAATGGTGTAAGTATTAAATGTATAATAAAAGTAAAAATAAATATATATGTTATATCAGTCGTCTATAAAATGGTGACTTAATGATTATTTTTTCTATAGGAAAAAATGTATAATAAACATATAAATGTATGTCATAAATTTTTATAAGTACGTTAATTTGTTTGGTGGGTTATCATATCGAGAGAAAATTACGAAAGAAAAAGCAACGTCAGACACATCTTTTTTACATTAATAACGAGTTCGTGTAACACTTGTTTCAATTGAAAAGTAAAATATTGATATCAATTCGATCCTTTGAACCATCTCATAAGGCCCCGAAGTTACTATATGTTGTTAACGGGATATAACATCTTATTTAATTAAGCACTTGGCATCAATCTTGTTGTTTTTTTCAATGTCATTAATATATGCAACATTGCTTCTTTATTTGTTAATCAATTGGATTTATAAAATTTATTGAAATTCTATGGAATCATCGAATTTATTGAATCGATAATAAAACAAAACTGAGCCATGACAATGTGATTGATAAAGGATAACAATATAGATAATAGTTACAACATAATTAGAAATAAACATTAAAAACGAAATTTCTATATTCTACAATGTAGTACTGTAATCTAGAAATCACTGTCCAAAATGCATATATTGTATGAAGCTGAGATCTACAGAAATATCGCAGGAAACTAAAGTACTCTACTTTATTTCTATTGTTTATTCTATTTATATTTCTTAATATAATATATATATATATATATATATATATATATATATATATATATATATATTATAACCACTTAATATGCATAGTTTCTGAAATATTAGATTAACAGCATTCATTTTTAAATTCACAGGTAGTAGAATACATTTAGTTTACAGCGAACATATTTGCAGAGATTATAATTATTAATATAGTAATATATTATATATATATATATTTATATATATATATATATATATATATATATATATATATAATTTATAATTATCTATGGCAAGGGTTGGCCCGTTATGAGACATGTATGATATATTCCATAATCGTTTTCATGAAGTATGTAAAACCTTGCAAAGAAATAAAAAAAAAGTAATTCTATCTTTCTAAATAGAACTCAAAAGTAATATACTTTAAAATATGTTCAACTACACGTGCATGCTGATTTTATTTTACCATATAATTTATATCTTGTATTAATATTATATATTAATTATACAAGCTATATAAGAAAACATCAGCTAAACGATATTTTGTTAGCAGAAAATATATATTATTGCTTATTTACTAAGATTAAACATACTTCAGAATAAAAGTAAATATATACACATAAAATGTGTACACATTGCAATTGTATTACAATTAAAGTTAAAGAGCTGATTAATGCTATCATTTTATACACAATGAAAAGATTAAAAATGATTAAAAAATATAGAAATAAAAAATTTATCTTTTCGTAAGTTGACAGCAAGAATGAAGCAGATGACAATTTTATATTTCTATCAGTTTGCTGTCAATATGTGCAATATAAACATAGTATTGCGGAGTACATGTCACAATTAACAGCATGAAAAGATTACAAACTGTTTGATCAAGTTTTCTATCATAGATTACATATTACTTGACACGAAAAACTGGTAGTTATGTGTATACTATTTTTTAAAGGTAGCAATGATAGCAATAACAATAGTAATACTGGTAAATCATATGGCGTGGTAAGCAAATTTTATCCCGCCTAAATATGTAGTATATATGTTTTTGCCTACCTAAGACGTATACTAAAATTTATTATTCGAAATCTACAACTTTATATTAATTTATAATACCAAACATTTTCATACGTACATTCATTACCTATAACCGAATAAAGAAGACTTTATGCTGTTGATACTCTTAAAAGATTATGCCTTTTACTTTTATATCATTTTTATTCTTGGCTGACGATTTTTGATTATTTAACGGACAATGACTTTCTTTATAATCTTATTTATATTAATGGTTTACATTTTACTAAAATGCTTCATACAAGTTCTAGTTTTATAACAGTACAATAGCTGTTACTCGTTAATCTTTGAATAGATGTGCCAAAAAAAATTTTATTTTTTTATATTTTATTTTATCAAGAGTGCAATTATCAGAAATTCGTTTTGTATATGTCATTCTGCCACTACTTGGCAAACATCATCATAGGAATAATTTAATGCTTAAGTTTCTCTGCACTATGAACATGCAGTAAGAGAAACTTTTTATGGTGTCTATGTATTTAGTTTTGAAGCAACTAATCACACTTAGAAACTATATACTCTCGTATTATCGGAGGTTTATCGATATATTTTATAGATGAACTAAAAATGCAAGAAGATACGTGTTAATAGAAATGTAATAAGAAACAAAATGTTTCTTACATATTTAATAAATAATATGCGGCACAAAAAGCTATAAAAATGAGGGTATGCACAAATGTAAAATGTCAAACAAGGTCGTTGACAGATTATTGTAGGAATAAATGGGCTAAAGCCGAGTTTACAATAGCCAGCTCACTTGGTTGAAGCTTATTTTTAAATAATGCAATCATAAGAAAATTGTTTTTTTGTCAAAAAATATCTTAATTTTTACATAAATCAATATGTAAATGTTGCTTGTATAGGAACCTATAATTGTTAATTAATATTTTGAAAATGCATGGTTAACTCGTCTCCATAAAACATGTTATTATATATTCATTAGTTGCGAGTCAAAAAATTTTGTCATTTGCTAGATTAAGTTTATATCATATTATACTATGATAAATCTTTTTTTCTTATAAGTCTTTTCTAATCATCAATCACTTTACCTGCAATAGAATATTTTTCACTAACTGTACAACCATATATCCAAATAATGGATACAAGTATTTTTTTCATGGCCATTGTACGCTCGATCAAAAAAATATCATAATTTGTATCCATATACTAAGTATTGGATTTCAACAATTTCGCAGATATTTGTTTATAAGTACATACATAATATTATTCGAGCATAAACTTATTTTGTACTACATATTTGTTCATTTCTCATAACATGTGATACAGTGTCAAGAAAAAGAATATACCATCTCAAATATTTTTAAAAATATAATAATATCAATTAGAGAGAGACGTCACCAGGATATTTGTTAAAATCCAATACTTCCAATACATACCACGCATATCACTACATAAGCGAGATGGGAGAAATCTAAGTCGAAGGCTTAATTAGAAATCAGATGCCTCCAAGGGGGTGGGTCAGGTGGTGGAGGCAGAGGGACTGGTTACGGACGGCAATGACCTCGTTTTCTACCGCCTTCGTTGCCTTCCTCATCTTCGCCTCCTCTTCGCACTTCAGTATAACGTTCACCTTTTACACTTACGATTTTATTGTCGAGATAGCGCACTAACTTCTTTGGTTCTGTTTTAGGCGCAACCGGACGATGCTCACGAGAATCATCATCCCTGTCGACGTAACTATACCGGGCGATGATACGTGACTTCAATTCCTCGTCATTTACTCTAGCTTTATTTCGACCATTGGGCTAGTATACATAAATTTATCCTTCTTTATTTTTCATGTAAACATATTAAGTAGTATGTACTTGTAGTTAGATTATTAAAAATATTGGAAATAGATATATAAGAATATATTTATGGAAAATACATACCGTTAAAAATGTGAGATTACTAACAATACTTTGACCAGCTTCTTGACGATGTAAAGCTAATTGTGCTGCTTTGGCTATGTCACCTCCAGCAACTGCTAAACAATGTCGAGCTTCAGCTGGGCTTGCTGCTGGAAACATTTCTTGTAGAAGTGCGACTTGATGCCAAGATGATTCCTGAAAAGTAAGAAATTGTAATTAAATTATAAATATAATGTATTTATATATATATGTACCTCAGAGAAATATTCTCCGCTGGAATCACTACCCGCATCACTTGTTTCTGAGAGATGATGAACTCGCATTCTCTGAGTACCAGGTGGTAAAAGAGCTGCCAAGCTAATATGACTCAATGGATCATGAGGTTGGCAGTTTTCATTTTCCTTACTTCCCTGACGTAGTTTACTCTCAACATCAACTAACCATTTTGATACAGCTTCTTTTTCAATTGTTGAAAATTCAGGAAGACAAGCAGAAACCATTTCACATAGACCATCTACATCTAACTCTTCCTCCATAGCATTTTCTTCTACCATGCTTACTACATAGCTGAGTACAATGTCATCAATTAAACTAAAAAAACACAATAATCAAAGTTAAGATATATATTTTTCTTGGGAATATATAGTAAGTAATAAATATTAATTAACTATGATATTAAGTTACCTTAGCTGTGCAGTAGGTACTTGTTTCCTCACAAAGCTAAATAAAGCTTTTTTTACTAACTCTTCTTTCTCATCCATTATGCGGCTCATTCTGTATATATAAAGAGATCATTACATATAACAGCAAATATTAATTTATTATTATGAACTAAATAAAATTATTTTTTACCTCAATACAATTATATGTTGAATGTCAAAATTTCAAATAAAAAAAAGTAGATTATTTTCTTAATCCCAATTGAATAACTGATCAAATGATCTTTGAGATATTTTTTTTTTTATTTAAAAGAAAAATACAAAATTTATGTGGACGTGACTACTTTTCTTTTCTAAAGAATTATAAAGAAAATAATGAGCGATGATTTTAAATTAAAAAGAAAAAACTAAGAAAGTAGGTCGTAGTAAAAAGGAAGAGACGAAAAAGCAGAAAGTATTTGGATTGCATGTAACATAGTAAAAAAACTACTGTTATAAGTGACACGAGTTGCACTTTCCAAACGTATACAAAAGGAGGAGAGATCATCGTATTATCGTTTTTTCACGAATCATCGTGATTTTTATAAAATATTTATGTCATGTATGTACATACATATATATACATATATACATATGTGACGTATACCTACGAATAATATCATCGTCTGTCATTGATCTTATGTTAGGTTAAGAGAAACAAAAATTAACGACAGCTAATTTTTCACATTGAGTTAGGTATACGCTATTTGGATAGAATTCTTTTGTTTCTGTGTATGTGTAGACAAGGAAGGAAGAAACTTTTTAATTAGAGGATTAAGAAGACAAACATTTGAAAAATCCACAACAACGATGCTGATTAACGTTGACGATAATAAAGTAGGAAAAAATGAAAAGACAACGAAGCGACAGGTCTATGGATAAAAGCGCCGGTGTCACATCACAGTTGAAGCTTTTTGAGTTTGGTGAAGGCGTGAAAAAAGCCTTTCGTTCGACGCCGAGGTCCTTTCATCCCATTATAAAGGACGCTCGAGTCGAGTACGAACCTGATTTATGTTTGTCTCGTTCGTTCGATCTGTCGTGTTCTTCGGGACGCGATGTGAACCCCAAAGGCTCGATAAAAATTTCGTATACAAACAAGGTTCCACGGATTTGACAGTTCGACGTAAGAAGGGATAGAGGGAGGTACAGTGGCGTTCCGTGATGGTCGACGCGCTGCGCACTAAGATTTAAAGAAAAGCGGGGGTAACTTAGTACTCGTTTAGTTTCATTTCACTTCTCTCTATCTCTTCTTTTTCTCCTGCTTTCTCTCTCTCTCTCTCTCTCTCTCTCTCTCTCTCTCTCTCTCTCTCTCTCTCTCTCTCTCTCTTCTCTCTCTCCGCTTCTCTACTTCGTTTTCTCCTTGTGTTACGAGTAGAGAAGGGCGACCTCACCGTTGAGGAGCGTAACATTTACTATTTTTACAATATAAATGGTTATGCCTCTTCGGATCATCCATACGCCATCTTGTTATATATTTCGCGTATGATATAAGTTTGGGTCGGTAATGTAATTTGTTCTGTAGATAATGTTGGGCTTCTATTAGATCGATATGATTTGAACCGTTTATAGATCAAAGCAATTAACTACACTTTCAGAAGTTTCCTTTTTTTTTTTTTTAATTTTAGTCCTAATACACTTGATTGGAGTTTATTTTTTGATTGGAGTTATTATATTTAAAATAAATTTCCTTAATAATTAGACTTAACACCACCAAGTGACAAAAATTTTTATGGTCGTTGAATAATATAATAATGTATATATCTTTATTAATTTTTTCTACTTTTTATTTTGTTGAAGTTAATCGATTTGGCAAGTGAGTGCGGCTCTTTTATAAATTCAGTTATGAAGTTTATGCAATTAAAATTGTTATACTATTGACGATGAATAAATATTGTATTTATAAAATTAATGTTATTTCATACAATTTTAATATCATTGAAGGAAAGTGAAAAATGTAGAAATTCGTTATTTCGCCATACGTTGTAATAGCTGTTTATTTATAAGACATAATATTTCACATATTACAATGTACATATACTTTCCAATCATAGAGTCGATATCGTGCGATTGATTGAATATTTGCGCGATACCGCTCTTTTACACGTATACTGTATTATTTTCGAGTAAGAAATCAATCTTCTTTTCTTAATTATTAGAACTTTTACAATAAGAGGTAATGCACGATCTTCGAAATGTGAAATAAACGCGTACGACAATCTAGAATCTAAGATTCAAACGAAGATATAATATAAAATATTTTTTAGACATGCGATCAATCTACTCACATATAATCGGATGCATCCTTAATTTATTTCTAATTTTTATAAATGCATCGATTCTTTTTCAAATATAATGTTAACGCCGAAAGTAGATACATAAATTTTCGACGAATTCATATAATATTTAAATGCATTTCCATCGAATACCAAGCATGTCGTTTTTATCGATGTGCATTAAACAGAAAAGAAAAAACTTATCTTTAAAAATAAATAATTATATAGACTGTTCTATGTATATATTTAGTTAAATATAAAAAATAAAATATTCGTTACCCTTATCGGACATTAACGTTTTGTATATAACTTGTTACATGGGAGTTTTATTAGGTGGTTATGCGAATGATTTTTAAATAAAATTATTTCTTATTAAAAATACATTATTTTTGTTTAAACTTTATCTAAATTTCTTTTTGAATTGTTATTAACACAATGATTTTGATTCAGATATGGAACATCCAAAAATTTGTTAACCAACCCCCTCTTTTTAAAATTAAAAACAAAATTAAAAAAAAATAAATGAATTTCTACAGTCAAAATCTTTAAAGAGATAATATTTAATATCACCTAGATAGAGATTAACGCGTAAGTGTTTAAATCTAAAAGTAAATATTTTGGATAAAAGCATACACTTGACAATTAGGAGGTTTTTACATGCTCAGTCTTGTCACCTTTCACGTGAAATATGAGTGCTAAAATTACACAGTCACGTTAGAGTTAATATACGACCGATAAGGGCTAACAATGAAAATAAATGATAACAGAAAAGTATAATGATTTACTTCGCGCGAAAGCTTTATGATTTAACGAAATGTTTCACATTATCACGCTCGATTCTTTGGCGTATCGTTTAAAGTCGTCAAACGGTTTTCGCTATCGATAGCTTTGATTTATCGTTCATTAACGAGACAATGATTTAATATGTAACTTGGAAGCAAGTGGAATATTATCATATCCTTCTAATTCTTAAAATATCTAGATTATGCCTAGATTATACAAAAAACGCATAAATTCCAATTACAAGATTCGAAACAAGTCCGACAATAAATTATTTCCATTAACACGTTGCCGCACACTTTTAATTTGACGATCGTGTTTAGAAATACATTTTTTTTCAATTGTTTATGACTGCCATATGAAATTGATGTGCAAGACGGCTATAGCAGTCATTTGCCTACACATCGTCAAAAATCAGACGGGCATAGCCGTCATTTGCGGCAACGTGTTAAATATTATTATAATGCACTTCGATCTTGAAAATATGATAATTGATAAAACAGATTTATATATTTTTCTAAAACAAATGATCGATATAAATTTTCTTCATTCACATACATAACGAAAATGTTATGTCAAAAAAAGAAAAAGAAAAAAATTGATATTTTTCGATATCATGTCTTCATAGAAAAATTTCTTTATACGTCAAGTCAATTTAAAAAATGAAAAATATTATGATCGACTTACAGTAAACTTTATAACAATATTAACAATAATATTCGCAGAAAATTAATGACGCTATTCGAACGTATTTATTTCTTCGCTTTCGATCGAATTGTCATTCGATTATATCTTAACGATAGCAAAAAATCGTAGATAAAATCGTTTTACTCTGTCTTGTCCTCCTTCGAACATGGGTCTTCTTCTTCTTCTTCTTCTTCTTCTCCATCTCGTTCGTCATCGCCTTCCCCAGCATCAACAGAACTGTGATCGGTTAAATCATCTTTACTATCCTTATTACAACCTGGTTCCGATTCTTCAACGATGTCCTGTTCTTGTTCTAGAAAGTCCGTAGGTACAAATTCCATCTGATCTTCGCAATCATTCAAATCTGGTGGACCCGGTATCTCGCAGAAATTAATTTCTCTGTTTTCATCGTTGAGATCATCACCTCCTGGATCGTCTTCCTCGTGAAAACTAATAAGCTTTTCAAAATTCACTGGATTAGAGTTATCCTCGTTACTTTCAGGAAATATTTCAGTGGGACTTAGAGGTATATCCAAGGGTTCAGTTTTCACTGTCGTAGGTGGAGACGTTGGTGTGATTGGTCTTTGTAAACGAATTTTTGTGAATGGCCGTGGCTCAGGAGGTTCCGATTGTTGTCTTTTTTGCGCGCGTTTAGGACTAGAAGAAAGAGGAACGCTAGAAGCGGAAGGCTTGTTCTCTTTGGTTTCTGGTACGATTTGTGGCACTACTGGTTGAGATATTAACGGTTTTGTTTGAGGTATAAGCATCGGTGGTTTCGAGTTCTATAAATGAATGATATTCAAAGTTTTAATTATTTAACTTGAAAGTACCTATATTTATGTTGCCATATTATGATGTAAATATTCGTTACCTGCGAGGAGGAACTAGGACCTGCTGCTAATCCTTTAACCTGTAAAGCTTCGGCTGCATTTAATAATTGAGGTAATTTGTCGTGAGCAACGTTAACTTCACCGCGATACATGAACTTAACCAGCGCTTCAACCTCCCAGAATTTGAGATCTTTCATCAAGATGATAGGATGCTGGCAAGGATTTTCTCGCAACAAGTCTGCTAGATAATCGCTACACGAGGATAATATCATCTTGTGACATTTCAGAGATCGTCCTTCGCAAGCTAAAGTTACATCAACGAATTGTTCCGAATCCAGAAGGGACGGGAAACTATTCTGCATGTTACTGTGATAACTATTCCACCTTAGACAAACCTGAAATTTTGAATCATTTTAATTTGTTCGATAAAAACAGCGTACGTATATTTTGTTTTATTGTCGGATACCTCCGTAGGTTGTTGATGGACAATATTTTGTGGCATGCCCTGCGGAGTTTGTCTCGGTGGCATCTTGATCGTCGTTGGCGCAACCTGCTTCACCTTTAACGGTATAGTTTTTAATACAAGAGTCTTTGGTTGTCGCTGCTGTTGTTGTTGTGGCGATGGTGCTGGGGCAATATTTCTAATATGTGGTCTTACGAAAGATTGGGTTGCTATTCTGATGGTTTTAGTGGTAGTCGTGTTAGATTGCGAGGCAGGCGTGTTGGACTGTAAAACTATAGAAAGAAAGAAACAACTATAGAAAGTAAAACTATATAAGAAAATTAAAAAATTAGCATTTATGTATGATATAGCTTGAAGTAACATTTACAAAGATTTTATGAAAATTTAAATTTATATATATATATATATATATATATATATATATATATATATATATATATATATATATATAGAAACGATAGACGAAGCGAAATCGTTGAAAATCAGTAGATAGTTTTGCAGCAGGTGGTTCTGTTGTTTACCATGATAACGTCTGCCGACGAGTCTGCCACCATGGTGTACTCTGAGATGCCGATGCAGATTGGTGGTACCGCATTGTCGAGGATTTGCGCCACCCCTGACAACAACGGCACCGCATATACGGCACTGGGCACGCAGTGGGTCATTCGCACAGAGGTCGAAGTGAGCCCAAACTGCGCTGGGATTGGCCATCGCTCGGAGACTACGCGCATGCGATCTTACCCTGTGGGTCGTACTAGTGTGTCTGCTAGCAGCAGAGGGTGGCGAGGAAGCAGGCGACGCAGCAGGCATTCCATTGTCCTCGAGGTAACAATCCTCCTCGTCTTCCGGTTCCTGCTTCATCGCTATCCCTTCGAGTCTTCTGGCAGACTCAACGAGCTCGTCGTTCGAGCTCGTGCTAGCACCACCACCACCACCACCACCGCCACCCCCTCGACCGGTCAATTTTTGCTCTTGGATGATTCTGTGCGAGGTCAGCTTGGTGGTGTCCGCGGTATCGGCCACCAATACAAGCCGACCTGTTGTAGTTGCACCGGTACTCGCCGTCTTGAATTATTCTTATTCTACGTTTGGGTTACCAGCAGCTCTCTCTCTCTCTCTCTCTCTCCCCCTTTTTTATTATCTCGCCACCCTCTCTGGTCCTTTTTTTATTTCGAACTCCCTTTTTTCAACGTTTAAACTTTTTCGATATCTCGATTCTCCGCTATCGCCGCAGGTGCGTCCCTCTGCATTCTCTTCCCTCTCCTCCGATGGAATTCCTTAACAATTTATTGTATTTACATCTTGAGATAGCTAGCTCAAATTCTTGTGAATATCTTTAAATCGGATTAGTTCGTGGTTAGTACACAAAAGAGAGAACGAACGTTACGCTCAATCGATTTGATTTTTATAATTATTCTGTATAATAATTGAGAATGTTTCTAAAAATCGATAAGAAATCACGTGAACGTCGTCAATTTTCCGCGGAACAAAAATCTTAGAACGATATGTCGGCAAGAAAGGGTAACTTTATTCCTTGATATTATATGTGCGGAGATAAGATAAAGGAAGAAGATAGGGAATATTTCAATGAGCTAGCGAATTCATTCGAAGTGACCACTGTCGACCAAATCAGACGAATATTTTTAAAAAGTTATTGAACTCATAGACGGTATGGTCGTCAATATGTCTTTTAAATATCTTGGATACATTCCCATAAATTCTATCTATCTATTTTTTTTTTATAATATAAACACATAATCGGTCATCGAATGTAAATGTTTAATAGCGCGAATGAATTTTAGAAAAGAGAAATTTCCATAACTTTGTTATCTAGTATCAAGGTCAATCATTGTACGAAATCTCTTCATACGTTCTACACTTTATGCTATATATATGCATATACATACTATAAGGTAGTAATCGAATCTAGACCTTTTCTTCTACTTCAAAATGTTCGGAGAAACTTTGAAATGTATAATAATAATAATTCTAATTTTTACAGATCCAGAAAATGAGAATAAACAGATTCGTATAGAAATATTTTAATCGACTTACTCATCAAATATTTGTCTATTGATATCATACCAAATTACGAATTAATGCGATATATATATATATATATATATATATATATATATATATATATATATGCGAAGTCATGTCATTGATATCGTACATTAGTTCGAGTAAAGCAAACGATTACCTTCCATAATGTATGCGATGACGTAGGTAAGATGTAAAGCGATCGGTTAAAATGATTTTCGCGGATTACGGACGCGCACGCGAGGATCCCCTTCTTTCCCCTCGAAAATTGTAAACTATTATCAAATAAAAAATGATTTCAAATCGAATCTAGGTTATACGGATCCGATATGATATTTTAAAAAGTGAAAAAAAAAAATTTGTCAAAATTTGTCGCGATCGTAGTAGGGATTGTTCAAAGCTATCGTAGAAGCCGTTTTCTTCGAAGGCTTCTAAAAAAAGCGCCAACGACGATAATCGTCCTCGACGAACCGATAAAGCGTGCAGCAACGCGCGTCTTTTACCCCTTAATAGCCCCTTCCCCCAACCGAGAAAGCAAGGTGACGAGAGCGTGTATTAACGATTTCTCTTCGAAACGTAGTACCTAAAGTAGTTACGTATATTATTTACGAGATAATCGAAAGTTTTTCGAATTTAACAAGACACCGAATAGATTATCGTTATTTTATATAGTATGTTACTTTTTTTTATTTTTCGAATTCTTTTCTGATACGCTGCCTCATAGATCAAAAATAGCCATCTTGCTACATCGTTAAGTTCCATGATCAATGTCTCTTGAACAAAGATCTTCTCGTATTATTCGTAAATATTTGAAAGTATCACGTGATATTCTATCCTAAAATTATGTGTATTTTATACACGTAATATAGGTGTAAGTGCTTTAAAGAAGATTTCGAGAAGTCCTAAGACACACAAGGGGAAACATTTGCACGCGCTACGTATTTTCCCTTCTCCCCACTAGACCTTGTCGCGGATATTTCTCCTCCTTTTCTTCTTCTTTGATATCTCTCTCTCTCTCTCTCTCTCTCTCTCTCTCTCTCTCTCTCTCTCTCACTCATTTCGTCTATAAGCAACTTCTCACCCACTCGTATCGTTCTATATCGTTCGCGCTTCCTACCACGCACACTAACCTACTCTCTCTCTCTCTCTCTTTTTTTCCCTCTATCTATCTACCTATCTATCTTTATCTTTTTATCTCTTTTCTCTCGCTCCCTCCATGCGGGCCGTGTACGAACGAAAGTCACGACCGGCTATAAAATGGCAACCGTTGCGACGACACACGGCACACACCACGCTGCCGCTTGGCTCTCGTCCGTTCCCTTCGAAACGGAGAAAGATACAAAAAGATACCCGCGAGAGAGAAGATAAAACGAAGCCAAATGTCGGGCGAGCGGGTCTGCGAGTGTCGAGGTACAAGAAGAAGAAGAAGAGGAGGAGGAGGAGGAAAAGGAGGAGGAGAAGGAGGAGAAGGAGGGGGAGAAGGAGGAGAAGGAGGAAGAAGAAGAGAGAAGGCACTGACGTCGTTGTTCGACCGGTTCAATCACTAGTGCGCGCACCGGTTCGGTAGCAGCGACGATTTTATCGACCCTTGTGCGCGTTTTCACGAGGACGCGTTTTATTTTTCTCGGAACAATACGATGTAGAATTTTTTGATAACGCCTCGACTCTACATTTTCTATCTTATTTTCCTCCTCTCTGTAACACGAGCAGCACGCACCAGGATTCGTTTTGATCGAATCGCACGATTCTTTTTATAATCGGTACGCTTGCTATTCCCTCTCTGTCTGCTGTTTCTCTCTCTCCTCCCTCATATTTTCGATCCGCATAAGATCGGCTCACGTCCATCGACGATGCGTCAAGTAAGGCAGCGGCACGACGATAGCTACGATATATATATATATATATATATATATATATATATATATATATATATATATACGAACGAAATCGTTTGCGTAAAATTCGTTCTCTCTTGTTTAAAACACGTAAAAGAGAATGATGATGAAAAAATAGAGGAAGAAGATTAAAATGGAAAGGATGGCCGTATCTGTGTATATCTATCTATCTATATACATATATTATATATATGTGTGTTGTATGTATATATGTATGTATGTATATATGTATGTATGTATGTATGTATGTATGTATGTATGTATATATGTATGTATGTATGTATGTATGTATGTATGTATATATATATACACATATATATATAGCTGTATGTACGATCAGTCGGGTAAGGATACCGCGGAAATCGTCGTCCCGGCGTGAGAAAAGGCGGGACACCGTCGTTGAATCCTCGTAATATCGCCGATAGAAAGATAGTAAGTGGATACGTAAAACGAGAATAGAGCGTCCTGCACTTGGGTGGTGTCCTCGGACGCGCAGAGAGCGAGAGAGCGGAACGATTTTCCCCGAAGCCGAACCCGGGAGTGACTAAAATCGAAATCGGTGGACGAACACAGGGGCGCGTCGGGGCGCGCATGTGCGACGGCGCCGCCGGTCGTCGACGTATATTATCCGTCCGCGTCCCGTGTGTCGCCTCGCGCTCTCTTGTGTGTGCTAGCCTGCCTCTGCCTGCTTGTCTGCCTAGCTACCTAACTTGATTCCTTCCTCCTGCTAGCCTGTTTCTTTGCTTGCCTACTAGGTTGCCTCTTGTCGCGCGCCTCTTGAGTGCGCGTTCACCTACTAACCGAGCTGATCGCCTCGTCTACCATCGGCCAATCGCAAGTACCGAGTCGAGTCGAGCCGAATTGAACCGAACCGAACCGAATAAGACCGAATGAAGTCGATACGAGCCGAATCTGCCGGCCGGCCGGCGTTCCTTCGGTTCTTCGCGCGCCAATTCTCATGCTCCAACTTCGTATCTTCTCATCGATCGCCTACCGACCCTTTGGTCTTTTCGTTAGACCCTTACTTCCTTTTAAATCCTCCCCTTCCATTCCTATCCTTTCTCTTCCCCCCCCCACCCACAACTATCACCTCTTTTCCCGCCCTTTATTCTTCTCCCCTCTTTGCTCTCCATTCAAAAGCATGCTTTCTAAAGATCGAGCAGGTTACTCTTGTGAGCGACGCCATCTTGCGCAAACGACGATGAACGATTCTTTTGGACTGATTCACGCGTCTTATGTGGCGCGTAAACTTGAAAACTGTTCGAACACGATTCTATTGTAGTATTGTTCATTACATGATAATGAACAATAGGTGGCTGAGAAAATTCGAAATAAGAGATATCTTTGTATATATTCCTATTGACGATCGAATAATATCAAAATACTTACTTTTTCGTATAGCAGTACGCTTCTCCCATCGCTGACGATCATCGTGGTTTTTACATTTATCGACTTCGTCTGTTTTTCTTCTAGATAAGATTGCGACAGATTCCGTCCCATCGAATGGCTGACGAATGTTTCCTTTCTCTTCAGATGACACTTTCAAGAACATTATCTTATGAGTTACAGTATATCCATACAGACAGTAACACTTACGAACTTAATATATCTTATGATTAAACGGAATAAATGTTAATAACTCACTCATTAATACGCGCGGTTTGCCAAGTGCCAAATAACGTTTTCTTGCTACTTGAGCAGCTGCGAAATCCGGTTTATGATTGTGCTCCATTCTTATTCGCGGCTTCGTACAATTTTCCGTCGTTATAAGACTTCCTCTACAATACGTTGTTCTACCGACGCATCTCCAACGGATATGTTGAGGCTGTTTTTTGTGCATCGTATACATGTAACCATTGTGAATCAATTTTGGGCCACCTTTGTTCGATAAAACAATCTGTTAAAAAATTGTTAATTGTAAAAAAAATAAAAGCCATATATATCTGTAATGTAAGAGATTTCATTTGCAGATAATAGTAGTAATCAAACTTTAATTACCTCGGGAACGGAATCGTCCTCGTTCAAATTTTCGTCCTCCAGTGATGCTATCACGGCACTATTCGAGTCATCTTGGTCTTTTTTCATTGAACGATTGTCGGAAGACGATTGCTTTTTTCGTGACATTATTTTCAAATGTATTATCTGTAACGAAAAACACTGATGTAAAAACATTAGGTTGCATCGAAAACATTTTACTACTTTTATTTATATAATGTCCTTAAGAAGATAATAAATTTGGACAATGACATTATTTGTAGTGGGAGAGGGGTTTCGGTCAGCATGAAATTCATCGAGAAAATTTCCACGTATTTTACGGTCTTAAAATAACTTCGATGGACAGATGGTTGGCTTTTGATACGATTTCTAAGGTCGCGCGCGCGTACACGTGACTTGATATGATCGGCTAGCTTTCTGAGGAAAATCGTCAAAAATATATTTCTTAATGTACGAAAGATACAGCAAACTTTGACGCATGTAAGATCAAAGAACGTGTTCTTCGGTATATTATTTTTGTGAAGAATTAACACGTACATCTCCTTTGGCTCGATGATTTTCATTTTAGAAAGTATATAATAATAATAATAATAATAATAATAATAATAATAATAATAATAATAATAATAATAATAATAATAATAATAATAATAATAATAATAATAATAATAATAATATTAATATTAATAATAATAATAATAATAATAATAAAAATAATAATAATAATAATAATAATAATAATAATAATAATAATAATAATAATAATAATAAAATTTTAAATAAATTCTTTCAAATATCAAAAAGGTGCTAATAAAAAAAAAGAAAATCATTAAATTTCATATATCTAAATAAACCAATTTACTATGATAAATCGTTAGTCGAATAGTAACATTTTTTCTTGATTGTTTATTTATTTTTTATAATAACATCAAGCTTACGTGAATCAAGAGAGAAGTTCGTTGTTCGAGCGGGCTTTGAGAGGACTCAGTTTTCGTTAAGAGAACTGCCGATAAGTATGGTGTATCGATCGGGTTTTCTTCGATGATGAAATCGTCGAAATCGGCGAGATTAAAAAATTATTTACCTACGATGTTTACGAGACTAAACATGATGCACCGATTTAACGTTAGGTTACACGAATGGACAACAAGAACCGTTGGCCTACAACGAAAGAGAGGTCTATCGCGTGTGTGGCGCCTCGCAAACATGGCATCCCGTTTCATGCCAATCGATAAACGGTACTGGTCAATGTCAAATGTACAAGATATTCCTTGTACTTTTAGGATATATCAATTTTTCTTTCTTTATTCTTTCACAATATTCGAAAAAATCACAAGATATTTGTGTGGAATTTGATGAAAAAAAAATATGACATTGTTATTTAAAAATTTCACAAGGAAGGAAATCACAAGGTGGTTTGGATAGATCTTTGGATAATCGTAATCTTTTTCTTTTTTTTCATCGTTTTCAACGTAATTTATAATAGTACGGTACAATATTAATGAAATCATCAATTATATTAAATACTGTTTGTTGTTGCTGTTTTTTTCCTTCGTTTTTTTTTTGTATGCATTGTGTGACCAGAGATAACAATACAGACTTGACTACAGGTGTTCACCTTCGTTAGCGCTACCTTTCCTTCGTTCTCGGCACTGGCTAATTAATTATTTATACGTTACCTTACGTCGCTAGATAACTTTTTATATATCTTCGATCGAGTCTATCTTATCTATCTTCTCTTTCTAATCTTCCCATCCCCTCCCTTTCATTCATCTCAAGCATTTCCATTTTTGTCGCATCTTGGCAGCATTTCAACGGTAAGAACTTGAAAATAATAATTAAGGGAAGCCCATTCCGACTTAGATAACAAATTGCTTTTCTTTCTTTCTCCTTGTTTTTTTGTCTCTTTTATTATTATTATTATTATTATTATTATTATTATTATTATTATTATTATTATTATTATTTTTATTCTAAGAATTATTAAATCAAATTCAATAATGAGATTAAATAATATTCGCAGCTTTCTTATCTTAAAGGCACAGGCAACGCGTGGCACAGAACCGATAAGCTACGATTGCTATTGTAAAAATATAAAACGATTTCCATGGGCATTTTATTAATTTAAATACATAGCTCATAAGGTGAGATGATAAAAAAAAGATAAAGAAAAAAAGAAAATAGAAAAAAAAGAAAAAGAAAACAAAAAATATTTGGCAAATTAAATAATGTATCGAAAAATATGATAATGTTATAATGATTTTTTTAACGCTTAACATAATTATCGTCTTCCGTATCTATTAATTTAATTCTTTATTTTCGTTTGATGGGAGCATAAAAGCAATTGGGAATATATAACAATTCTTTAAAAAATGCCTGACCGTATAAATCCTTTAGATGTTTCCTTTTAGAAGTTCTTTTAAAGCGTTTTCGTTCGACATATTTGTATTTCAACCTACGAAATCGCAATAATGATACAAATAGATTTTTCTTTTTTTTCTTGCTTTCTTTCTTTTGTATTTATTATTATTTTTTTTATTCGAACTGATCTTATCAATGTTCGATGTATCTTGTTAAAAAATATTAGCGGAGCAATGAAAATTATACATAGACCGCAAAGCTGAATCAAAAGTAAAATCCATGTATCATTTAAAGCGAAATAGTATTACATTAGGGTTTTATGAATTTGAAAGTACAAGAACATGAATGAATCTAACGTATACGTCGAAACGTAGGAAGCAGTCATATTAGAAAGTCTTCATTTTCTTATTAAATAATCATAATAATAGACATAATATAATAATGATAATCATAGTACAATTATTAAGATCAATAATCTATAAATATTTATGTGTATCGCACTTGTGTTACGCTTGCATTTCAACTACAAATCTATTAATTCTATTTGTTCTCTTTACGATTCATGTACGTAGATAAATGGAAGATAGACGTAAAGTTGCCGATGCCTTCAAAATTTCTATTTTGGTTTTCTTTTATCTACTTTTCTTTCTTTCTTTATATTCTTTTTTGTTTTACTGTACCCCCATCTCCCGCCACTGATTATCCTTTCAACGTTTTTTACCGAATGTTTATATCGTGACAATAAAATTTGTAAGATACGTAGAGATATTTTATATCAAAGAATATTTCTACCTAGCGCGCACATTCTTTTCAAAAGAACATCTCAAAGCGATCTGCCGCCATTACTTATGTTTTTTCTATAACCCCTTCTCTTTTCTTTGAATAAGATGCATTAATTTCGTCCAAGGTTCTCCAGTAAAACTCTGGCAGTTCTCGAAAAGAGGAAATACTCTAGCTTCCATATATATGTAAGTTATTTTTATCATTTCGTTATATGTATGTATATCGCCATTTTATATATCGTTATAATTCATCGTATGCGCCAATGCATTACGGAGGACTCAAGGACTTCCTTTCTAAGAATTATTCTAAATCATAGCGACGATGCCTTACGACGCGTTATCACATTACGTCATATGGATGTAGCAAAATATCTACCTAAGTATCTTACGTCACAGAGTAAAAGAAAAGAATGTCAGATACCGACAATATAAGAACATGACGAATGCGTGTTCCCCATATGATCTACCATAACGTGTACTGTTTGCTTTTTTTATTCCTATTCTTTTTATTTTTTTTTGTTTCTTTTTCTTTTTTTGTAGTTGACATCTTCGGGGTCTACTACACGCGAAAAGCTACGTTAAGGGTGCCTATTTTAATAAGAAGTGAATATCGTCATCGTCGTTGTGTTGTTGTTGCTGTTGTTGCTATCATGTGATATTCTTTCGGAATTGACGTTGTCCCGTAAAACATTAACATTAACAATGAATCGTTAATTCACGACGCTAATGCTTAAAGGTACAGGTATATAGCGGGGTATTTATCATTTACATCTACTTGAAAATAATTGCACATATGTACGTCGACCGTTATTATAATTTGGGAGATTGGATGATATTAATGTTAGTAGTAGTATAGTAATAGCAATAGTAATGTGATAGTAGTTGTAGAATAGTAGTAGTAATAGTATAGTAGTAATAGTAATGGTATTAGTAGTAATAATAGTAGTAGTAATAATAGGAGTAGTAGTAGTAGTAGTAGTAGTAGTAGTAGTAGTAGTAGTAGCAGCAGTAGTAGTAGTACTTATAATAACGATAATATAATAATAATAAAAATATTAATAACGACGATGGAAATAACAATGATAATGTTTAGCTTCTACTAAAGGAATTATTAGTGGAATACAACCGAGAACGATGAACCATGCCTACATTTTTTGTAAATATTACTATCTCTCATTTTCTTATCGGCATAAAAATTGTTGTTATGCCACTACCATATTGTGGGAACATTCACCTATTTCATACCCTGTTCTTGCATTGCTCGGTAACCGACATTCTTCATTAAATAATTCCTAGTCATTACTAATATTTACGAACAAATAGAAACGTCGAAAAGGCCAACTCATGGGAGTAAAGATAGCGCTTTATCGTCGGGGAGGCTGAGCAGTATGGTCGAAGAACAATTCGCACCTTTAAATTATGCTCCATGATTAGCTTCTGCTTTGTATTATGTTTATCGCATTCGTTGGCCGGGGTTCTGAGCCGTCAAACAATCATGCGGCACATGCGGAGTATGATAGACAAGAGCGAATAAGAGGCAGAACGGGCTATAGAGCTACGTAACAACAGAACGTGTAGTACTAGTAACAGCATTCCAAACTGTACTGCTTTGTGAAGCCAATATAATCTGAAATAAATATAGAGGAGATCAAGATTTATTAAGAGATCAAGATATATTAGGAGATTAAGATAGTCACTTTAACGAAATGCAAAATAGATCGTTAGAGACTGGGCTATATTACTCACTTTGTTATATGTGAGCGGGCAGCTGGCAGTGTGTTCGGGTTCTGTTTCAGAATGAACTGTCTAATTCCCAATATGTATTGCTCCAAGTACGACGGCCAATCGATCTGTTTGACGTCGAACATAAACGTCTGCCGATCATCGAGACTCAGTTGTTCTCCTAATCTCCTCACGTTAGAATCCCTGAAGTTCCACTGATTCGTACTGAAGTATTCCAAGCATTTAGTGGCTTTGCAAAGTTTTGCCTGTATGCGGACCATTATTGGTCGCGAGCCCTTTAGACGAGCTAGAAGATCTAAGATATGCGCGGGTAGCATGTGCTGGAAGATCACGCACACTTTGTTTAAAAGCATGGAACTACGGCAACGACCACCTGGATACCAAAACGCATTGTTCACTGGATACATCCGACTGTATTTGAAGGATAAATCGACGAATTGCTTCCAGGTGATAGGATTCTGTTGGCCAGAACAACAATTGTAAATGGTGATGGTACCAGTACGATGCGTCGCTGTCTTCCATGCAGCGCATATCATTAGATTGATCACTATATCAACTGGAATTAGATCGGCTACTTTATTCTCATGGCACAACATCGTTCTATAAATGAAAACAAATACGTAGGAATACGATTGTCACGTTTCTACATTAATATAGTATTATAAATTATTCATTTAATCTACGTAATACATACCTGAAGAATCCTTTCCCAGCTGCTGCTATGATCCCAGTAGGACCATTCCAATTTTCTATCCAACCAGCGACTGGTTCTCTCAAAGCTGACAATACGATCGAAGGTCTAACAATCGCGACTGGTAAAGAACCACTTTCTCCTTGTAGCATTTTTTCCGCCAAAGCTTTGGTAAAAGTATAAGTATTTGGTCGACTCGCTATCAATTTCGGTGTTAATTCATCGATCATCTCGTCATCCATTGACTTGGTCCAGGAGATTACCTGTTCGGGATCCTTAGCAAGTGGATATATTTCCTCGGCTACGTCCTTTCGATCGCAGTTGCAATACGCCGTTGACACGTGAATGAGAGCCTGCAATTGACAAATTTTTTTGTCATTCTGCTCCCATCAGATGTTATTTATTCATTAACGTATTCATGAGTGCGTTAGAATAACAAGTTAGTTACAAAAATCGTCCATTCGAATAATGAACTAGTGAAAATATATTGAAAATTTAATACGTCTTATTTAATACGCTTATTTAGTATAATTCTGTCATTCGTTTTTAAGAGAAACAAGTCCTTACCTCCAGTTTATGCATTCTATGACACAATTGAATGAGACGTTGGGTGCCTAATATATTTATAGTGACCGAAAGTTTCAAGGCCTCGTCGAATTTTACTGTTGCGGCCGAATGAAAGACGATCGATACACATTGTATCAATGTCTGTCTATCCGCTTCCGAGATGCCGAGTTCCTGTTCCGTAACATCCCCTGCTACAGGCACGATTTTTGAAAGAGCATGAGGGAAATTACATCGTAGCTCCTTGAATAACTGTTGAAAATAATTAACGAAGAGATTATTATTCTTATTATCCTTTATCCTTTCGTTTTTTTTTTCTTTTTAAAATGAACTTTTCATTTTAAATAACACGATTCAATGACACGAATTTCTTATATTTTACATTTCTTAAAATCGTTTAAGATTCGATTAAAGAAGTAATTATTTCAAACGATATTAATGAAGCCATAAACAATAAACCGTTAAAAAAAAAAAAGAAAAAAAAGAAAAGAATATAACCTTACCGGTATATCGAGTAATTCTTGCAACCTTTGCTGTACATCTTGTCCGTTCTTTGGCCTCATGAGCAAATAAATGTTTTTTATACCAGGACACGAACGTAAGAGTTTCTCAACGAGGACCTTGCCCATGAAACCGGTACCACCAGTGATGAAGATAGAACGGTCTCTGTAGAAATCCTTCACAGATGTGTACTCACTACCAGCCATCGTGGCCATGTCTCTTCCGGTTTTCCCTTAATCTTCAATGATTCTTTCTTACTTCCTTACTGTCTTTTCTTCTATCCTTCTATCTTTTTTTCTGTTGTTTCTTTTTTTGCCGCCTATATCCCGCCTTTTTTATTTTCTTATTATTTATTGTTCTTCGGCTTCTTTTGTTTTTTTCTCGTTTGCAGTCGATTCTAATAATCTTTATGTTTGTTTCTACCTTTTATCCTTGTCGTCGATCCTAACGCCGATTTTCTTTCAAATTAATTCTTCAGATACGAGGAAACGTGCTCAAGGGTAAGTGGTGCGGCACGGGCTGGCACACGTATTTGCTTTTCCAAGATTTTCCAAAGGGATAACGAGAAGCGATCACAATTACTCGACTCATTTCGTATCTTTTATAACCGCGACTTTTGTCCTAAAAGAAAAAATACAAAAAAGAATACAAAAAAGATTGGTATGAGATTACAGATAAGCAGATTAATTATTTCCCTTTTCTCTCTCTCTCTCTCTCTCTCTCTCTCTCTCTCTTTCTCTCTTTCTCTTTTCTTTCTTTCTTTTTTATTTTAATCGTATGAACTTATTTTTCTACGAAGAAGATAACGAAAATGCTGATACTAACGAAAGTATAATATAACTATATTAGATATTTCCTTTCTGCGAACTTTATCTTATTCGTAAGATACCTATATACTTAGAGATGATTAACCAATACGAAGAAACTATAACGTATATAAATCTATCAGGAAACGGTCTTTCGATATTTTCTTCTTCCTCAAATGACAGTCTTTTATTACGATATATTCTAATAGACTTCTGACTTACTTATAGTAGTACTTCTATATTTACATCATGATAAAAATCACTAAACGTATTAACGAGAAATATAGTATCTGTATTTGATTAAAAGTATATATACTCTCATGAGAAAAACAAATAGAGATACAGTTTATATATATATGTGTATATAAAAATATATTATGTATATAAATATGTATATATATATATATATATATATATATATATATATATATGTATGTATTTTCTCTTCTCGTCCACATTTAATTCTTATATGAATTTAATAATTTTTAATGCATTTGTATTGTTTATACATACATATGTAAGCCTACGATCGTTTGATTATTTCTCTATCTCTCTCTTTTCCTTCTTTATCTTAGATTTAGATCTTTCTGACAATTCTATTTTACGAGATCTTTCACATTAAAGGGCTTCTCTCGCGTCCTTGTATCCAATAGCATTCAAAGGAATCCATCGGAACGTTCTATAGAGATAACGTTACATAAGCATTAAACGGCATTTAATGAAGATGATATTACAATATTTCTATTTCTTCGAATTATATTTTTATTTTTTATTGTATCAATTTATTCCACTTATATATAATTTACCAACTTCTTTCACGATTTAAAGGAATTTATAATTTTATCAAAAAAGGCAAAATCTATTTTTTTTTCTTATAACTTTTTTAGATAACAAACTTTGTTATGATTTCGTTATAAAAATAAATAGAATTAGATAATAATTCTACAAAATAACATTTGTGGAACGTATGAGGTATTAAAGTTAGAAATTGTTACTTTCTCTTTTCTTCTTTTTCTTTTCTTTTTACGTTCGAAGATTAAAAGACAGAAGATATATATACTATAAGTGACCCATGTAAGTATAGACGTAGCGTTGATAGATAAAATTAGATGAGAGAACGTAAGACACGCGACGCATCGAAAGCGGAATACCGCCGTTCTATGTATGTAATTATTCGTCAGTTGGAAAGGAAGCATCTGTTACGCGTACATCACAAGTATACGTTTGAAAAAATTCGTAATAAGATATGGCTCTTCGTAGTAGGATAAGGGTCATCTTTATTTCCTTCTTTAATTTTTTCTTTTAAAGAAGAAATACTTTTGTTAATCCTTCCTGTAGCCATCTAATTTTGTGTAATTACCCGTTTAACTCTGAAATCATATATTTTATATATATTTAGAAAAGTCAAGTTACACAGGGTTAATCAATGATCGTTATTAAAACTGTAAAAAAGACAAGAAAATAAAATGGTCAATTATTTTTAGTTCAAAATCATTTGAAATTATTCGTTTTATTTTTATTATTCATATATTCATATATAAAATTCAAGATATTTTATAATTTATCTGTAATATATTAGTTATATAATATACCAGAATAATTATAGATAATTCTAGTGTTTAAAATAACAAGAAAGAGAGAGAGAGAGAGAGAGAGAGAGAGAGAGAGAGAGAGAGAGAGAGAGAGAGAGAGAGAGAGAGAGAGAGAGAGAGAGAGAGAGAGAGAGAGAGCAAATGATCTGAAGAGAAAATGATTTGAAGAGAAAATGATTTGAAAACAATTATTAAAATATTTGAATTACATGCAATCATAATTACAATCTCTCCGTAATTACATGTTTGTATTGACCTTCGAACTTCTTTTTCTTTTTCTTTTCCATTCATGAAGCGTTTCGTTAAGTGTGTCATGCATTAGATCGAAAAAAAATTTCTTTCTTATAGTTTTCTACTTTCAGCAAACGTAATGATCCGTTTGATAGTTTTCGATAAAAATATTGAAGTCTATGATATTTAAATGAATTTTTTCGAAAAGATGGAGGGAAAAAATAAAAAACAAAGGCGGAATATTCTTAAAAAATTAATATACTTTTCGTGAATTTAAAACTTTCTCGTCTATTTAAATAATCCTGGACGAAATATTGTCATAGTGAATATTTATTGTCATATTTTTCTGCTTCATTCTAGTGTAATTCATTAACTAGTAATATGCAAAAGATGAATATGTAATACATATGTAATTTGCGAGATTTCTATCATTTTTAACCTTGTTTTGGTCAAATCGTTCGAAATTGCTCTCTCTCTCTCTCTCTCTCTCTCACTCTCTTTGAAAATTATGTAATTTCGATAAATGTAACTTGTCACATGTTTACACATCCGTATTTCGTAAGTTCGATTTCATTTTATTGATATATTTCCAACTTAGGAAATTAATTCTTTACTTTACACACGAAATTATTTATGTTTTTCAAATATATGCTATACACTTATTACACTATGATTATGTTAATTCTAAGTAATATTTTAATACTTTTATTAAGAATTTTTTTCTTTTTCTTTCTTTTTTAGTAAATGCAAAAAACGAAAGAAAATTCAATTATATACGATTATGATTTATTATATTATATTTTGTTCTTCATTAAAGCAATGAGATTCAAAGAAATCGGAAAATTTCGAGTATTAGTCAGTACCATAATCGTAATCAAGAATTTGTATGTGCATTTTAATAAAAGAGAGAGAGAGAGAGAGAGAGAGAGAGAGAGAGAGAGAGAGAGAGAGAGAGAGAGAGAGAACTGATGCATAGAAAGGATAGGAAGAAATTGGAAAAGAGGACTACAATGAAACTTGGGGAATAGAGAAAGAGGAAGGGATTTGATGGAATTCTAGGTCAGCGTTCCGGCCTCGAAGCGGTCATCGGAAGCCGCCTCCTTTCGATGTACTTATGCGCGCGTTCCTCTCCTACTGCGAGAAGAAGAAAGGGGGAATAGATGGAGGAAGAAAGAGGCCGACCCCGTTACATGAAAACCCGTTACGCGACATGCAACGACAGCGACCGACTGATTCTTTTTATCCTCCTTATTTTACTTTACTTTAGTTTACTTCATTTTCTGTAGAGATCATCTTTGTTCCATCACACACATTTTTTTTTTTTAATATTTCTTTCTTTCTTTCTTCTTCCTCACCTATATCATTTCATTTTCGTTAAAAAAAAAAAAAAAAAAAAAAAAAAAGGGAGAAAAGAAAAAACTAATTTTCTCTATTTATCTATTTTTAATAAATCTCCTTTTACTTGTCAATATTTCTATCAATTGATCTGTATATTTTCTCATTAATATTTATTTCAAACGTAGATCAGGAGAATTATTGATGTTGATACATGACCATCTAATAACATGATTTAATAAGACATTAATTGATACTAATATCAATATTAATATTATTAAGTATAATAAGACAGTATAAAAGTGAGTATAAAAGTTATTATGCTTTTCAATATAATTATAATATCACATTTAATTTCTAATAGCTTTATTAAGGACTGGAAATATATATAAAATCTTTGTCATTGATGGATTGAATATAGATAATATTTCTTTTTGGCCAAGTAGATACTCCGAAAGATACAACCAGGAAAGGAAGACTCCTAATGATCCCCCTTCTATCACTATATTTGTCTGATTTCTTTTATTAATTATATTTTTTAAATATTCATTATTCGTTCATAAATATTTTAATCATTTGATCGTCTTATTTGAATATAGTCGTATAATTTTATAGGATTTATTCTGTAAATATCATGATTTTCCAGGCTTATGAGTTTTCGAATATATAAGATTAATTAAAATAATATAGATAAAGATTAGAGGCACGTGAAATTTGATTATCAAAATAGACAGATGAAATGAAAGGATTAGATCAACCTTTTCGCTACTACAATCAACTATACTCGCTCGAAATATAACTTAGATATTGAAATAACAAATATGCATTTCGTCGATCAATCTTTTATCCATACCGTATTATTTGTCCTTATATTTATTTTTTTTTTATTTTTATTATCGAAGATATTTTCCAAGCTGTAAGAAACAAGCCTGAAATATCTTTACCTTTATGTCGCGGAGTCTCATTGTCATTATGGCGGCCAATTACGTCGTGACAAAAAGATTATATTTAGATACGAATATATCGTAATCGTATATACGTATATACATAAGTATAAACGATGCAAAAATTTGAAATCATATTCTATGATTCATTAAATGATCAGATATGTTTTTTGCAATGTCAAATTCCGTTTACCGTCACACTAGCGTTTCAGCTACCGATTAAAGATATATTTCTCGTTGTAACTTTTTATTTATTTTTAATAATAAAAAACAACTCCGAACGAAATAATGTTATTAATCACGACAAGCGGTAAATTAATTCAACAAAATCTACGATATTATATTTTCTTATTGAAATTACAAAATCGTAAAAAAGCAAATTAGCAGCAAATTTATTCAATATAAATTATACAAATTTGATCAAAACTACAAATTTTTTTTTCTTTTCTTTTCTGTTTTTTTTTTTTTTTTTTTTTTTTTTTTTTTTTTTTTTTTTTTTTTTTAATACAATCGAAATATAAAAGATGATTTCTTTGAGTAATTCATAAATCAATTTACAATTTCTGTTGATAACAGAAAATAATTTGTCATTGATGAATAATTTAAAGTGAATTAATACGTAAATTAATACATACAGAGAAATTATACTTTTAAAGTCTCACGAAGTGAATCACGCGCACACTCGCGATAGCTCCTGACCTGGAATCACTTCC